GGCGTGCCCGTCGCCAGAGGGAGCCCTGGGCCCATTGCAGCCACCCCGCCTGCTCCCCAGCCCCCGCGGGCCCCCCAGCCCCCGCGGCGGCCTTTTCCCATGAACCGAGCCGGCCTTCGTGTCCGAGCACCTGCACCGCGCGCGCTCCATGTTCAAAGCGCAGGTTTATTGTGGACAGGGAGAGGGGGGGAGCAGGGGACTCCGGCGCAGACACACCCGGGCGGAAAGGGCCGCCCTCAGGGGGACAGGCTGGCCGAGAGAGGCCTGCTGGTCGCGGGCAGCAGCCTCTGCCCGGGAAGGTCCGTGAGGAGAAGTGCCCGCAAGGTCGCGGTCGCAGGCGGGCCGCCCCGCGGAGGGAGCGGGCTGGTGGCACGGCGGGGGGCAGGGCTGCTCTGCTTTTCATCTCCCTGGGCGCCCACGCAGCAGCCGGGCGGCGGGCACTCCCGAGGGCGGGCGCTGGCACATGCCCCTGAGAGCTTCGTGGGCCCCTCCGGGCCGAGTGGCTGGTGGAGGGCGGGAGCTTGGTCCCAGCTCTGGGGCTGGGGTCCAAGATCTGGGCTTTCGGGCCACAGGTGCGGCCCTTCCTGGCGGCGGGGGTGCAAGCGCCCTGGGGCCTCTTGCCCCGATGCTCCTGCGGGCCGCGCTTCGGGGGCCCATCGCCCGGGGCTTCCCTTTCCACACGGCGGCAGGAGCCGTGGGACTCACTTTCCTTCCCCACCCTCCTCCGCCACGCGCCCTTTTTCAAACAATTGAGGTGACACAAAATTGACATGACACGAAACTTCCCATTTCGGGGTGCAGTCGGGGCGTCCGGGGCTTTCTCTGTGGCGGCAGCCCCATCGGGCCGGCGCCCACCCTGCGCCTCTCGCCCGGCTCAGTGTGGACCGGCTCCGGGCCGTGCAGGCCTGGCCTTTTCTGGCCTCCGCTTTCCTTCCGACTTTGGGGGGTCAGGCTGCTGGGCATTGCCCCGCCTGGTCCCCGGCGGAGTGAGGGCGCGTTCCTCAAGGGGGAGCCCGTCGTCATGTGGACGTGGTCGTCGTGGCCGCAGCCGCCCATGCCCGCGCCTCTGTGCCCAGCTTGCCGTCGTGGGCGAGGCTGCGCAGCGGCGCCTCTTCCCGTCCCGTGGTGGGCGCTGTGCTCGCTGCGGCGGCGTCGGGCCTTCCCGCAGCCGAGGCTTCAGACGCCCGGCCAGGCGCGCTCCGCCGGCGCCGAGAGAGCGTGGCCCGTGCCGTGCGCTGTGCCCGAGGGCGGCGCGGCGAGCCAGGCCTCCAGCGGGTGCGGCGCTCGGCTCGGGCCCTGTTCCGGCCGGGAGCTGCCCTGTGGGAGCTGCCCTGCGGGCGCGGCGGAACAGCACCTGCGCACCTGGCCGCGGGAGCCCGAGCGCGGGAGCGGCCCCCACGCCGCCGCGGGCTGCTGCACAGCTGCTGTCGTGGTTGCGTCTGTAGCAGAGTTGCGCGCGTGATTTTGTGTTTATTGTGTATGGATTTAAGACTCTCTGGGAGTGGTTTCAGACTTACGCAGCAGTTGCAGAGGGGGTGCCTCAGTCCCATGCTCCCTGCACCCGGCTTCCCTAGTGTCCGTGTCCTGCGTTACGGGGTGTCTGCCGTGAGCCAGGACCAGCCCTGCTGTGTGATGGCTGGCCAGACCCCACGTTTATTTGGATATTGTGGGTTCCCCCCAGTATCCTTGTTCTGGCAGGGCCCCCCCAGCATGTCCCGTTGCACTTCATCAGACTTGCCCTGGGCTGCGACAGCCCTCGGACTCTGCTTGGACTCGGGTCCTCATGCCCTGGCAGTGTGGAGCGGGCTAGCCGGCGGTATGTGGACTCTTCCCTCGGCCGGGTTTGTCTGGGTTCTCCCTGCTCATGGACGGACGGGATTCTGGGTTTGGGGGGAGGTCACTGGGCGCAGTGTTGGCTTCTGTGCTGGTCACTGGCAAACTGACCTGGGCTCTTTGGAGATGTTCTGACTTGGGGCTGGCCAGGAGTGGGTGAGCCGGGAGGCCAGTGAGCTCAGAAAGGAAGGTTCAAAAGCGAGGTGGGCTCAGCCCAGGGACTCGGGAGCCCACTAAAAAGGAGGTCCCACTGGCCACGGCTGGAGCAGTAGAGCAGACGAACTGGCAACTTAATGGCGTGTTCTTTAGGCCTGGCCTGAGTATCACGTGGGCACCGCGGGTCCACGTGCCTGATAAGGGGGAGGAGGCAGAGATGAGGCCGGGCAGTGCCCTCGCCTCTGGCCCGCCCCCGCCCGGGGCTGGTGTGCCTGGACCATGCACTCAGAGGCCCGGCAGGAGCTGGCTCTGGCAGCGGGAGGGTGCTGCTGCCCCTGGCATGCGTCTGGTGGCTTTGCCAGATCATGGGGCTCTCATCTTTGGGGTGCCGTGCCCTGGGGCCGCCTCCCCTCTCCCCGTCTTGTGGCCCTGCGCCTCCTTCGCAAGGGGTGTGCTCTGTGGTAGGATGGTAGACGGGGTGGCTTCGTGGGGCTGGCCCCTGGAAACGGGTCCTGGCACGTGTGGTCACTCAGCAGCCCGTGCTGGCACTTCCCAGCATCGGAGCAGGGCCTCCCTCCCGTGTGGCTGGGTGGCGCCTCTCCTTGGGTGGTGTTCTGGGCCCCGTGGTGCAACTCCTCCGATGGCTTTTCATTTCAGAGGGAGGTTAGGCTTTGCATTTTTTCAAAAAAGCATTTTCCAGAGTGAAACCGGGGGTACAGAATCGAACATGGCCTGCTACCAGCCCCCATAGCCTTCACCTCGCGTCCTGTGCCTGCTCTGTGTCCTGTGCCTCCGCGGTGGCGCCGGGCGCCGTCCAGGGTGCCGTGGCTGCTGTGGTGACAAGGCGGCCCTCCTTTTTAGAGAGCACGTCCCGTCAGGCGGTGCCGTCCTATCGGGGTGGCCGTCCTATGAGGGGGTGGCCGTCCTATCGGGGGTCTCCGTCCTTTTGGGGGTGTTGTCCTATCAGGGGGTCTCCATCTTATTGGGGGGTCTCTGTCCTCTCGGGGGATGTTGTCTTATCGGGGGTCTCCATCCTATCGGGGTGTCATCCTATCGGGGTCTCCATCCTGTCGGGGGTGTCCATCCTATCAGGGCGTCTCTGTCATATTGGGTGTCTGTCACATGGGGGTGTCGGTGTGTCGGAAGTGAGCCTCATTGTGGCAGGTGCTGTGAAGGAGACCCTTCCCGCCCTCGGCAGCCTCTCTCGCCCATCAGTTTCAGACCTTTCCTTCGGGGCGCACAGGCCGCGGAGGACAGTGAGAGGACCTTGCTCAGCGCTCCTCAGCGCTGCTGACCCGGCTTTCCAGGCCCCGACCGCCTCCCTGCTCTGTCCTCCCCTTGTGGAATTTCAGGGCCCGGCAGGCCTGGCGCGGTGCGTCCCTGCGGCCGGCTGTCATGACGCAGGCTGACGCGGGAGCCGTCCCGCTCGGCTCTGCCCTCGTGGCTCTTCCCGCTCCGGCGCGCAGCGCTCCCCCTGCAGCTGCGCCCGCTTCTCACGGGCTTGCCCGGGGAAGTCCAGTACGGAGAACTCGGCGCCCCTTCTGCGTTGCGCTGAGGGAAGAACACCTTGCAGACTTCCAGAATGTCGTTCCTGGAACGAGAAGCCTGTTCTGGAAGTGTCACTGGACTGTCTGCCGCTTGCAGCCTCTGGCGTCGTGGCGCGCTGCCGCCCTCCCTTGAGAAGTGCTGCAGGCGCGAGCCCGGCGCGGGCGCACATGGGCCTGCCACGGAAACGCGTGTTTCCGTTTTTCAATTGTTGATTTGCTTGCTTGCATCTTCGTTCATTTTGGGGCAGTATTTGGCTTCTCCCCTCGGGCGCCATCCCGCCGGTGCTCCCCCCAGCACAGCCCCCGCCCAGCCCGCCCCCGCCCTGCTCGTGCCTCGGCTCTGCGGGCGCCTGCAAGGCCCGGCTCCCTGACGCCTGGCTGGGCGCTCCGAGCCCCGGCGTGAGGGAGACAACCTGGCGTTCGCCCCCCTCGCCCTGCCTCGCCTCCCCTCGCGGCGTCCTTCGCCTTCCATGTGGCCGCAAGTGGCGCGACAGTATCTGAGTGTCTTTTATTTATTTTTTATTTTTAAAATATTTTATTTTATATAATTCTTACATTTTTCATTTTTTTTTTCTTAAGGGGTTTGGAATTTTTTTTTTAATATTTATTTATTTATTTATACATGCACTGGGTACAGTCAGAAGCGCGGGAGGGTGAGATGATTCTCCAGAGCCAGAGCGGGGAGCAGAGCAGGCAGAAGGACCGAGGTACACTGCTGAGGGGAGCAGCGGGCATGGTAGGAGAGGTTTGTGTGCCATGTGGGACCCTTGCCTGCGGCCGGGGGATCGAACCGGCGCTGCAGAGGCTGCGGGCAGCTTCACAGCCCAGCGCTCAACCTCTGCGCCACCCGGGGAGGCCCACATTTTTCATTTTTGCACAATGTGTGCATTTTCATCTCGGTTAGATTCCCCATACCATTGCACCCCCCTTATTGTGACCCCAGTCTCTCCTCTCCTCCCCCCGCCCGCAGTGTGCCTTTGGTTTACAGTTACTTGTTGATTTTGGTTTTTTTCTTCATTATAATTAGTCTTTTTCTGCTATCTTATTGGGGTTTTCTAAATTCCTGCTCTTTTATTTTTTTTACTTTTGGGTGGAATGGGGTGTGGCCAGAGGTGGGGTTGAGACAGTGGGGGGCAGGAAAGGCAGATCCACTGAAACCCGCTGCTGAGGCGGGCAGCGGGAGACAGGAGGGGTCTTCCGCGCCCTGTGGGCAGCTCCCCGGCCTGGGGTCGCACTCAGGCTGCGGTGGTGACAGCCTGAGACTGACCCCTGGGCCGCCGGGGAGGCCCGAGAGTGTCTGTTTTGAGAGAACGTTGTTTCAGGGTAATAATGAAGACAGGCGTCTTTATTATTCTCATTCCCCTACAAAGAATGTCGACATCTTCACACACGTGTACCTCGCTGAAGACGCGACCAGCTGACCCGGGACGAGCTGTCTAACCGCCTTTCCTTTTGCTCTTCCAGGATGCACGACAGCATGTCCACAATGGTGTACATAAAGGAAGACAAGCTGGAGAAGCTCACCCAGGATGAGATCATTTCTAAGACCAAGCAGGTCATTCAGGGGCTGGAAGCGCTGAAGAACGAGCACAACTCCATCTTGCAGAGTCTGCTCGAGACGCTCAAGTGCTTGAAGAAAGATGACGAGAGTAACCTGGTGGAGGAGAAATCCAACATGATCCGCAAGTCGCTGGAGATGCTGGAGCTGGGCCTGAGTGAGGCGCAGGTAAGGGGGACGGCGTGGGGGCGGGGACGGTGTGGGCTGGGGGACAGTGGGGTCAGCGTGGGAGCGGGCGGCGGGACGGGGCCGGGATGGCGCGGGCGCAGGGACGGTGCGGCATGGCGAGGGCTTCGCGAGCTGCCTAGCCTGAACAAGGGGAGTCTTTGTTTGCAGTCACTACCGGGCGTGGTTGGATATGCCACATAAAGGGCTGGTGGGGGCAGGACTGAGTTTTAAAGGCAGGACCAAATCGGAGGTGACTGTGTGTGTCGCTCAGGATGAGACTTGGCTGCGTTCATCGCAGACGCTGCGCCAGCGGTGGCTTCAAGGGGCAGGCGTTTTACCTGTCGCGAGGCGGCCCAGAAGGGCCCGTGGCTGCTGGGTCAGGGGATGCCTAGGTCCTGCCACCCGTGGCATTGCACGCTGCTGCCCGTCGGGGGGACAAAGACTGAGGGGACAGCTGCAGCCAGCTGACTCCGTTCCGGGACAGGGAAGGTCCAGGAGGGGCTGCCTCCTCCCTTTACTTCGGAGCATCTGCTCAGGCCTCCACTCACCTTGCGCCAGCAGAGCCTGGCCCCACAGCGCGCCCAGCTGTGAGGGGACAGACAAGCTCTCTTGCCCTCCGAGGGTGCCGGTTCCTGGGCCTGAGGAGGAGGGAGATGGGATACTGGCCCGCAGCCGCCGCTTCGTGGCTCCAGATGAGGCTGCCTTCCGCGGTCAGTGCTTCTGGCCCCGTCTGGCTAGAAACGGAGCAGAGCGGAGGGGCTCCCACGCCCCCCGTAGCTTTTGCTTTGCCAGCATATTTTAGGTAAAATTAAATACATTAAAAATTGGCTTCTCTCTCAGCTCCCATGTGAAGTGCGGGGGGCTGCTGGGCAGCTGGTCCCTGTTTCCCCAGTGGAGACCTCACAGTGCCTGTGCGGACCCGGCTCCCAGCGCTCCGACCCTGTCCCGGTGCAGCTGCCCCTGCGGTCTGCTCTGCCTCAGGTTCTGCTGTTGGAGGCGGCAGGAGCATGAATGTCCCTTTGTAGCTTGAGGCACCAGGGTTAAAGGAGGAGAAAGCCCCGCCTGCTGGGGTTCAGGCACTAGTGAGGAGGCTCCTGAGGAGGGAGGGCAGATGCACCAGGCAGAGACTGGAGTTGGCTCCTGCCCACCCTGGCCTCAGGCCGCCCGTGCCTGAGAGGGACCTGGACGCACAGGCAGTGTGTTCCGTCCTTGCTGGGAGCCTCACCTGGGTAGGTCGAGTCTGTCTCCCCGCGTGCGGGCCTCACACAGGGAAAGGGCTGTCTGGGGTGGGGGAGGACAGTTTATCAGAGGAGGCGCTGAGTCTCCTCTGCTGCCCGCCCCGGAGATGCGCTCAGACAGAAAGAGTCTATTGTGGCAGGACTTGCAAGCACGTGGCCACCTGCCTTGAGCTTGGCGCGCGATGGCTGACGGAGGAAGGGCCTCTCTGCCCCAGTGCACGGCTGGGTGCGCCGGTGTAGGCCGGGCTGGGGAGGCCGAGCATGAGCCTCTGTGTGCGCAGGTCATGATGGCGCTGTCCAACCACCTGAACGCTGTGGAGTCGGAGAAGCAGAAGCTGCGCGCGCAGGTCCGCCGGCTCTGCCAGGAGAACCAGTGGCTGCGGGATGAGCTGGCCAACACGCAGCAGAAGCTGCAGAAGAGCGAGCAGTCGGTGGCCCAGCTGGAGGAGGAGAAGAAGCACCTGGAGTTCATGAACCAGCTGAAAAAATACGACGATGACATCTCCCCGTCTGTGAGTGGCTCTGTGGGGGCCGCGGCCCGGTGGCACCTGTGGGACCTGTGGGCACTTCCCTGCCCCTCTCTGAGCGCCCCCTAGCAGGCCTCGGAGCCCTAAGGCAGGTGCAGGGTGCAGGGCGCAGGCATGGGCGTGGCCTACCCAGCGGGGTGCCTGACCACCAGCCGTGGGCTCTTGCTTCAGGCCCAGTGGGACTGGAGCCCGACTCCTGGACTTGGGGCGGGAGCTCTGTGGTTCAGGAGCCACGGCCCTTGCATCCTGGAGTCCGCGCCTGCCCATGTGCCGCGGCTTCTGCCATGCTCTCGCCTGCCAGCTTGGCGTTCCTGGGGGCCTCAGTTATTCCTTTCCTCTGCCCGTCCACCCCAGTCTTGATGGTTTGCTACCCACCCCTTGCTCCTGATTCAGTCAGCTTTTGTTTAATGAACTTACTTTGGAATAATTTGAGTCACAGAGAAGTTGATCCAGAGATGTGCATTGTAGTCTGCGGTCACACGCTTGGCATCCACATAAATCTGTGCGGAAAGTCTCGCTGCTCTGCTTGGTCCTCCCCAGGGCAAAGGCAAAGGGTCTCAGGCATGAGCCCAGGTTTGCTGCCCCTGGCTGGCTCTTAGCCAGGGGCTGATCTGTCAGGCCTGCAGCTCACTGCCGAGCTTTTAGACACGCCGCTCTGTGGGTAGTCCTGCCTAAATGAGTCACCTTCTCTAAGATGCTCAATTAAATTGAAGCTTATTTCAAAGATTTCAAATACAGGGGCGACAGTACTTGTAAGCCTGCACTGTCCTGGGTTGGTTTTCCAGGAAGACAAAGACTCGGATTCCTCCAAAGAGCCCCTGGACGACCTCTTCCCCAATGAGGATGACGACCCGGGCCATGGGAGTAAGTGGGGCATGCTCAGCCTGGCAGCTGGTTGTCCCCCACCCACCACAGGCATGGGTGGGTGTCTGCCTCCCTGGCACATGCACGCGTGGTTCTCCCGTGCGCCCCAGGCCATCTAGCAATGGGCCCGCAGCTACAGTGGCCAGTTAGACCAGCCCGGGCCGGGGCCACTCCTGCCACACAGACATGGCCGGCTCCTGGTATGAAGATCAGAGTGGCCCGTGTGGGCACTGTGGGTACCCAGGGTTCCCCTGCTCGTGGGGCCTGGCCACACAGTGCTGCTTGCCGTGACCCTGCCTGCTTTGGCGTCTGGGCGGTGGGGGCGGTGGGCTGCCCGGGGGGGCGTGCTCTCAGGACTCCTCTGCCCCTCCCCACAGTCCAGCAGCAGCACAGCAGCGCGGCAGCTGCAGCCCAGCAGGGTGGCTATGAGATCCCGGCGCGCCTGCGCACCCTGCACAACCTGGTCATCCAGTACGCCTCGCAGGGCCGCTACGAGGTGGCTGTGCCCCTGTGCAAGCAGGCCCTGGAGGACCTGGAGAAGACTTCGGGCCACGACCACCCTGACGTGGCCACCATGCTGAACATCCTGGCGCTGGTGTACAGGCAAGTGCCCCCCGGCGCGCTGTGACCCTGCCGGCGCCTCTCTCCATCCTTCCCTGCCCTTTCAAATGTAACAACAAATATTCCCAGTGACCTGCATGAGCTGCTTCTCCCCTGACTCCCCTCAAGTTGCTGGTAGCCGTGTCCACAGCAGGCAGCACGCGCTGGGGCAGGCTCCCCGTGCTGCAGCGCTGCCTGTGACCCCAGTCAGCTGCTGGAAGAGCCACTGTGCCCCACTGCCTGCCGAGACCCAGGCCCTCCTGTTCAGAGCAGCTTCCAGCTCTGCTGTCGGCACCTTCCCCTGGGCCTGGGGGCGCCGTCTGTCCAGTGCCCCCCATGACCCTTGCCTGCCCCCCGGCCCTGCTTGCTGTGCCTGGGCTCTGGCACGTCCCCTCACGCAGTTCCCTGGACTCCAGGGCCATCTTGAGTCCTCCGTCAGCCTGTCTCGTAGGTCCGAGATGGAGCAGCACGGCCGTTGTTGGGACGAGGGATTTCTTTAAAGCACGTAGGAAGCGAGCACATACCCAGGTTGGCCCAGACCCTGGCTGAGTCTGTGGCAGCCCTTACGCCCCCGGCCTGTCCACGGTCCTGTGTGTGGGTCACTCTGTGCCTCTGAGGGCCAAAGGGTCTGCCACAGACTCACCCGAGTGTGCCTAGGGCTTGTGGCGCCGCCCCACTGCTGCCTCCCCTCTGCGGCTCCCGCTCAGCTGAGAAGTCTGCGTGCTGGGCATGTGAGGAGGGCACTAGGCAGCTGGCCTTACCCTGGGGCACCGGTGGGGTGCTTGCTTTCCGTAAGACCTCACACGCCTCTCTAGGAAACGGGGGCCAGTCGTGCACCCCAGGTGTCACGGTGTGCTTACTTGCACGTACTGCTGGTGAGGGCTCTCAGCGTGCAGACGCTGTCCTGCCCTGGCTCTCCCAGCAGCTCTGGGTGGGACAGTCTGCTGGCCTTGCGGTCGGCCGGGGCTGTGGGAGCTGACCCCACGCTGGCCGGCAGAGCCAGGACTCAGGTATGCTCGGCACTGTCTGATGGGGGCATGCCTCTGGGCAGCCTGGCTCCCCCGTGCGGGTAGCCCCTGCTGGGCGGGGCCACTCTGCCCCTGGGTCTGGGTGGGAGGCTGTACCCCAGAGCCGAGCAGCTCTAGCCCCGAGCCCTGCGCGTGGTCTGGCCTGCCCGCCGGGTCGTCTCCTCTGCTCGGGCTGTCTAGTAACCACCTGACTTGATTCTTTTAATAAAAAAATTAATATTTAGCTTTTTCAGTAGCTGCAACTTAACATTTATTTCTTCATTTATTTTTTTTTTTAAGATTTATTTATTTATGCATCCAAGAACTGGGGTGCAGCCAGAGCTATGGTGGGGAGAGAGGATTCACCAGAGACAGAGTGGGGACAGAACAGGCAGATCGACCAAAGTACACTGCTGAGGGGAGCAGCGGGGAGAGAGGAGAGGTCTGCTGCGCCATGTGGGTTGCTTCCTGGCCAGGGATCGAACTCATGCTGCAGAGGCTATGGATTGCCTCATAGTGCAGTGCTTAATCCCCTGTGCCAACCAGGAGGCCCAGCATTTACTTTTTTAGTTCCAGAGTTAAATTTTAAAAAGACGGCGTAGCTACGTGGAAAACACTGAACGCGTGTTTCTCGTTTAGAGACCAGAATAAATACAAAGACGCGGCCAATCTGCTGAACGATGCCTTGGCCATCCGAGAGAAGACACTGGGCAAAGACCACCCTGCGGTTTGTGTCTGCTGCTTCGTTCTTTCATGTTCTGTTCTCCCCGATCGTTTATTGACCCGACTCCTCTTACTGTTGACCTCAGCAGGAAGGGCTAGGAGCCGCCTCTGCACTAGCTGGCGCAGGTAGGGCCGTGCGGCACTGGCGGGCTGGGCTCCTGTGTCTGTCCCCACCGCCTCCAATGGAGCACAGCCTGGTTCTGATCCCAAATCAAATCGCATGTTCTTCTGTAAATTTTTTCCTAAAGAATTCATGGTCATCTTTATAAGATCGGTCAGAGCTGCGCACAGATCTGTTTCGGTTGGCTTTGTGGCTTCCAGTAAAATTAAAAAAATCAAGATCATGTTTGATTGGCCCACATGGAGTGCCCTCAGTGCAACCTCGTGACCTCTGTCCCCGTGAGGGTCAAGTGCTTTTCTGCGCTCACCCAGGGCGCTGCTGGCCCGCCTGCCGCCAGGCTGCCGTCCCCTGTGCTCGGGCCTCGCTGACCCCGCCCTCTGTGTTGGCAGGTGGCGGCAACGCTGAACAACCTCGCGGTGCTCTACGGCAAGAGAGGGAAGTACAAGGAAGCCGAGCCGCTGTGCAAGCGCGCCCTGGAGATCAGAGAGAAGGTGCGGGTGGCTGGGGGGGCCTCACGCTTCGGTTGTGACGGGCCATGACCACGAACGACAACTGGCCTACAAAGGTGGTCAGCCAGCACACCGAGCCTGTCCAGCACAGCGGTGTGGGGTGGGCGTGGGGCGGGCAGCCAGCCCCTGTGCAGCAGGAAGTGACCCTGAGCGTGGAGGGCCCCGGGGTGCAGCAGGAAACCAGGATTCTTGGAGGATGGGCGTGTCCTCATCAGCAAGGGGTACGCTGCTGCTAAGCCTGAAAGACGACATGATCGTCGTCGTCAGAGCTGTAGGTGAGCCCAGAGCCCCGGCTGGCCAGCACCAGGGCTGCTGCCGCTGACTGGGCCGGGCGCTGCGCTCCTGACACTGCATGCAGAGGGCGGCACTCGGCCCTCCCAGCCACCGCGGGGAATGTTTTCACTTGGGGTTTTGGTGACTTTTTGCCAGTGACAGAGCTGGTTAATTGCGAGTGAGGTAGAGGGGGTGGAGGTAGCAGGGGCAGGCGGGAAGGGGCTGGTGGGAAGCCCGGAGGCGGACGCTGCTCACCTGCCTCTGCGGGGGGGAGCAAGTGGGCAGGTGTGGAGTGGCCTGGGGCTGAAAGGACCAGGTGATTCGAGGTGTGTGTGGTGAGTCATTGTATGTATTCCTATGTATTCAAGCTCTTTTACTACCCTAGCCAGGGTGTGCTAAGGACTTGGGAGTCCCGGCTTGGCTAGAGTTGGTGATACACAGTTCCATCCCGGGGAGCCCTGGAACAGATAGCCCTTGGGGTGCAGGGTGCCTTGGCGTCCAGGATCCAGCTCCAGGAGAGGGTGGAGCAGGGCTTCCCCAGGCCAGGGCGCCCTGTGCCTTGGGGATGGCTTTCACAAGTGCCCGAGTCTGGCCCCTGTCCCCAGGCGCCTTCACAGCCTCTTGTCCCCGAGGGCCGGGAGGGCAGGGGTTTACAGGCGGCAGAGAGGCGGCGGGCCTGGCTGGGGACCACGTGGGGGAGGCCAGAGCAGTTCTGAGAGTGAATGACTTGTCCAGGCAGCGAGGAGGCAGTTCAGTGTGTTCATCAATCTCTCCAGGTGCGGAGATGAGGAGGAAGACATGGTTTGTGCACTCGGGGCTTGCGTTTGAGTGGAGAGCTGGGCAGTAAGAGACTCAGTGGGTAAAGAAGAGTTTTGGGTAGTGTTTCTTGCAAAGAAGCAAGCAGGTGATGTGCTTGTGTTAGCTGCGTGGGGATGGGCTGAGGGTGCCCTAAGATGGGCGGTGGGGCATCCCCCGAAGGCCGTCGGGGGAGCAGAGGTGTTGAAGAAGAGCCAGCAAGCTCAGTGTCCGGATGGAAGGGCGACGGCAGTGACCCTGTCTGGATGCTCAGGCCGCCGTGGACAGCTGGGGTTCCCCTGAAGGCCATGGCCTCGGATCGCGTGTGGGAGGCGCTCAGCCCTCCGGTCAGCACGGGCTGTGTTTCGGTTTGGGCTCTCCAGATTTGGGGGCTAAACGAGCAGCCTTTATCAACCCAGGCTCCTCACCTTCGCCTTGTGTGGCCGCGTCCCAGCTGGGGGCCGTGTGTGCGTTGGCCGGGCTCGGGTAGGACACAGGCCGGTGCTGTCCGTTGTGTGGCTGAGCAGCTGCTTGGCCCAGGGCTGGCCCAGGAGCCAGCCTGCAGACCGCGAGGCCCAGCCCCAGCCCCTCACGGCTCCCTCGTGCGCAGGTCTTGGGGAAGGACCACCCTGATGTCGCCAAGCAGCTGAACAACCTGGCCTTGCTGTGCCAGAACCAGGGCAAGTACGACGAGGTGGAGTACTACTACCAGCGGGCCCTGGACATCTACCAGACCCGGCTGGGCCCCGACGACCCCAACGTGGCCAAGACCAAGAACAACCTGGTAGGTGACGCGAGGCTCGGCTGTCTCTGCTGTGGCCAGACGTGACTGTGCGGGGCGCGCGTCCTGTCGGGACACTGACGCGGCACCTCTCTTCGAAGGCTTCCTGCTACCTGAAGCAAGGGAAGTTCAAGCAAGCAGAGACCCTGTACAAGGAGATCCTCACGCGCGCACACGAAAGGGAGTTCGGTTCTGTCGACGGTAAGACACGCTCCGCGCCGAAAGTGGCTCTGCCCGGCGAGCCCGGGGGCGGCCTGTTGGCACAGAGCCTTCCAGGCGGTTTGGGCTGAGGTTTGGGATCGATTGTCCCGACAGCGTTCAGAGGGCGAGGCATAGGCCCGCCCGCCACCTGCTCATACCCGGGCCCTTGCCCCCACACGCCACGCCACGCCACACCACGCCACGCCATGCCCCAGCGAGTCCTGTGGGCCTCGTGGCCCCTCCGTGGCTCTGCCACCTGCCCTCCATGCTGCCTTCCCGGAGCCTGCGCCCACCCCATGCCTGCCAGACAGCTCAGCTGCCATCAGTAGCCCATCGCCTTTGTTTCCTTAACACGGCAAGGGGCTGGCCGCCGGGCATCCTCCGAGCAGGGCTGCCATCTACGCTTGGGTGGCCCACTCTGGGGCGTCCAGTTGCAGGAGCTGCCCAGCCCCGCTGACCATAGAGGCTTGTCCGGCCTGGTGGCCCCGGGGCCATCTCCCCCAGGCTTCTTTCCTTAATTCTACTTGGGGAGGCTGGTTTCCCTTGACCTACTGGCTGCTGTCTGCTGTGGTGGTGACATGGCGTCCAGTCGGCTGTGTTCTCCTGGACGCGGCTTCCTGTTCTCGGGTTACCACACACATTAGGATGCAGGCCGTCTTGTGTGCAGCTGAGACCCCTGTCCTGTGGCACCCCGCAGTGCCCGGCTGGAGTTCTGCTTCCCGGGTGAGCGGTCTGCAGAGCCTGCCCGCGGCGACGGGTGGGCGAGTTCAGCTCCGCACCACCTCTTTTTTTAAAAGTGTTTATGCATTTAAGAGGTGGGGTGCAGGCCAGAGGGGCCAGGGGGGATTCACCAGAGACAGGGTGGGGAGCAGAGCAGGCAGATCCACTGACATCCGCTGCTGAGGGGAGCAGTGGGGAGTCAGGAGAGGCCTGCTGCACCCTATGGGTCACTCCCTGGCCGTGTCGCACTCAGGCTGCAGGGGCTGTGGAGAGCCTCACGGTACTGAGACTGACTCTGCGCCCCCAGGGAGGTCCTCTGCTCTTCCTCCTCGCACCTGGGTTTGAACCACTCACTCCTCGGCAGTGTGGCCAGTGGTCAGTGTAGCCACATGCTGGCCTTCAGGGAAGGGGGCCTGCCTTAACTTCCACAGTGGTCCTGGGCAGCGGGTCAGGACCCCACTGAGGAGTGAGGACGCCACAGACTTGCCGAGCTTGGCTTGGAGGCTTGAGACGCCAGTGTCTCCCAGCAGCCTCCTGCAGGGGAGCCCTGAAGGTGACCTGCTGACCGAGGGGGGGAGCTCACCTGCCATCCTCACCCGGACGCAGCTTCCAGCGTCTCCCTCCTTTGTGCTCGCTGGTTTCCTCCTTGAAACCACACTTCCCTTTGTGTCTCCGGCCACCCGCCACTCTGCACGGTCGTGTCTGCCCCACACCCGCTGCACTTCCTGAGATTGTAATGTCAGGCTGCGCGGATTGCAGACACCCCGAGTGTGGGGCGAGCAGCCCCAGCATCCGTCAGGGCTTCTGGTTGTGCCCTGACCCCCCATCTTCTGTTCACCCCTTTGCCCCCAGCCCTGCACAGCCGAGTCCTCTGGAGGCCCGAGGCGGGGCCTGGCTGCAGGGCTTCCTGCTCTGCTGCCAACTCCCTCTTTCGCGAGGTGGGAAGTGACGCCTGAGGAGGATCCCAGGGAAGATGAGTTTGCAGCCCCAGGATGGAACCGCTTCGCACGCGTCCGTTAACTGCGCCTTGTGATTCTCTCCTAGATGAGAACAAGCCCATCTGGATGCACGCCGAGGAGCGAGAGGAGTGCAAAGTGAGGACAGACCCCCCCGAGGGCCTTCCCAGGCACACGTGTGCCAGCAGGCCCTCACTGCGGGGTCGCTCTCTCCTCAGGGCAAGCAGAAGGACGGGGCATCTTTTGGAGAATATGGCGGCTGGTACAAGGCCTGCAAGGTCGACAGGTCTGTTCCTGAAGAGGGGCCGGGAGCCTGCGGGGCAGCTTGTAGGTGCTGAGTGCAGCAACTCCTTCAGGCGGTTGCAGGGTCCCTGTTCCCCGAGACTCTGGACCTCCAAGCTTTGTAAGGGAGAGGCCTCCACATCACGGCCGGCAGGGTGTACTGGAGCTGACCGGCTCTCTAGGCTGCCTGGGGGGTTTCGGGGGCCGCTGGGGACAGGCGCGAGCCTGCTCGTTGTGGGGGCTGGTGTGGGCCCAGCTGGCCCTGTGCACCCCATCAGCAGCCGCCTGGAATGCTCCTTTGCTGTCTTCTCCCCATCTTAACTCTTGCTCAGCCCTTAAGGCTCAGATCATGGTCTCTGAGGAAAGCGCTGAACCCTTAGTTTGGAATAAACACCCTCTGGCTTCTCCCACCCTTGCCACAGATGACACAGTGGGGCTGTTTCTCCCACTCCCGTCGCCCCCCAAAGGGACGGACGCAGCTGCTGAGTTTCTGTCTGCAGGAGCCTGTCCCAGGGCGGGATCAGCCCCCCTTGGGGACTCGTGCTGGCCCTGCTGGGTGTGGTGCTGGCCTGGGGAGTGGCTGTCGGGGCCCTGTGCAGTAATCTGCCTTAGCCTGGGGGCTCAGCCTGCACCGAGGGGAGACAGAGGATGTGAAGGGCTGTGCCCGACCCCACCCCTCATGACTGATGGTGAGCCTGGCCTCAGGGTGCCCTGCCCATGGGCGGCCACAGCCGGGGGCGCAGGGGTATGGCCGTACCTGTGAGGCAGTGTCAGCGGGAGGTCTGGGTCCACCCTGACCGCCCCTTGAAGCTCTGGTTTTGGGGGGGCACTTCTACTTCTGAGGAGACTTTCAGGGTTTTGCAGTTAGAACTTCAAGGTATTTTCAACCAGGCTGAGGCGTATGAGTTCTTTGGACCCCGCGTTGTCGACCTGGCTGCCGAGGCTGTCCTGGTAATGGCTCTGCATGTCCTGTGCTTGTTAACAGCCCAACTGTCACGACGACTCTCAAAAATCTCGGGGCACTTTACAGACGTCAAGGCAAATTTGAAGCCGCGGAGACGTTGGAGGAAGCGGCTATGAGGTCACGGAAGCAGGTCAGTTGGGCCAAGTCGCCCACCTGCGTCTCTGGGCCGGGCTCCTTCTCGCCCTGCCGAGAGCTCAGCGTGGAGCCTGAGGGTCTTCGCTCTCCTGCTCGGACAATAGGGGTCACATGGTCTGAGCTCCAGTGCGGTGCCGCGGCGTACAGGCTCGGTGGAGCCGCCACGTCAGAGCTGCACCTGCTGTGCGGGCAGGTGCGCCTGGGCCGGGTCGTGCCAGAGGGGCAGGCACCTGCACGGGCCTTGGGAGAAGCCTCATGGTGACTGCGCGCTTGAGTCTGGCTGCCGCGAGAGACGGCCCTCAGCGCCGCTGCCGTGGGAGTGGGGTGTGGTTTTCTTGTACCAAAGCCCGCCCGGTGTGCCCACCGGAGCCGCGCCCACCCAGAGCCCGAGTGCTGGCTCTCGGCGCTGGCGGGGCTCAAGTGCTGGATGGCCGCGGAGCGCTGGTGTACCAGTGGCATCTGGGGTCCGAGGCCTCTGTCGCTGCCCTGCCCCACCCCTGCGTGGGGCTCCGTGGGCAGATGCCTGGGGCTGCGTCCTGGGCTCCGGCACGGTGCAGCTGGCTTGGGGATGGGTGCTGTCCCCGGACCTGTCCTCTGAGCCCAGCGAGCCTTCTTGGCGGGGCATGAGCCGCATGTCAGCTGCGCGGCCATCAGCAGAAGTTCCAAGCAGCAGCCCAGAGACGTAGACAGCGTGGCCTGGACAGCGCAGGTGGGGAGGTGGTGCCCCAGGGGCAGGTGCCTCCTGGGGCTCCCTGCGCCTGCTCTACATGTGGTCGACGGGGTCCCATCAGCCAGGACCCGTGGCAGTCACCGCAGGGGCCCTGCCCCCAGCAGTGTGGCCCAGGCGTTGGCTGTCACTGGTGAGGGGCAGGCAGTGGTCACAGGGCCTGGGGGCCCGTGAGACCACCCAGCGGCCGGGTGTCTGGGTGTGCGCAGGAGGTGGCTGGAAGGTCTCTCTTCAGCCTCAGGCCAGGCAGCTCAGGGTGTCTTCCATCCGGGACTTGTGTGCCTGTGGGCGCTGCTTGAGGGTCGTGGGCCTGCGGCCAGCCCTCACAGAGGCCACCTGATTGAACGTGCGCCTTGGAGCTTTTCTCTCCAACCAGTCTGACAGGAGGAAGGCGTTGACAAGACTGGCAGAGCCCTTGTCGTGGCCCCGACCAGGCCTCACGCGCCCTCGCGGCGTCCTTCCTGCTGGGGTGTCCAGAGGCGGTGCCCTGCGGGCCTGGCGGTGCAGGGTCGCGCGGTTCTGGCAGGGGCTGGCTCTGGAGCTGAGACCTGCCACCCGGGCTGCCTGGGACAAGCGCTGTCCCGGTGATGGCATGTTCCTCACAGGGGCGGGCGTGGGGTGGGGGGATGGGCTGGGGCTGCTCGAGTGAGAGGCCCGTGGTGCAGTGCTGGCTGGGGCTGCCCCAGGAGGACACGGTGGCAGCAGGTGCTGCGGGCAGAGTCCCTCGGCCGTGGGCTGGGTGCCTGGATGGCCCGGCCCGGCAGAACAGCCCACGCCGCCCAGCGTGCCCTGGCTCCAGAGGTGCGTTTGTGAAGGAGACATCAGAAAGCCTGCACCGAGATTGGGGGGCCCAGAGGGCTTAGTGGGGCTTGTTTTGGAGGCACAAACACCAGGAACCATGTGTTAAATGTGGGGCTGGCTCCCAGCACCTCGCCCTGGAGTTGCAACATGTAGAGAAGGTGAGTGGCCCTCACCCCAGCGGGCCCCACTGGCTTGTGTCAGGAGCCCATCCGCACACGCTGCCTCTTCACACCTGTCCGCCGCCTCCATCGGGCGGCTCCAGGGCAGCAGCCCCAGCGCGGCCTTTGCAGCAGCGGGCGGGCCTCTGCGCGCCGCCCCCCCCCCCCCCCCCCCCCCGTCAGCTTCACGCTCACAAGCCGGGCGTGTCCCGGTGCCCTGTCCCGCCCCTCCTGTGGCCGAGAGTGTGGACTTTGCATCTCAGCCCCCGTGACAGCCTGAGGCTTACGGACCGGCCCTCCCCCCGCTCACAGGGTCTCGACAACGTGCACAAGCAGAGGGTGGCCGAGGTGCTGGGTGACCCCGAGAGCGTGGAGAAGGGCCGGAGCCGGGAGAGCCTCCACGCCGATGTGGTCAAGTACGAGAGCGGCCCTGACGGAGGCGAGGAAGTGAGTATGAGCGTAGAGTGGAACGGGGTAAGTACGGCGCCCGTGCAGGCGCCCGTCTGCGCCCCCGCCCCCCGCCCCTGCGCTGGCCACCCCGTCCCCAGTTCAGGGCCCCTGGCAGCCTCGGATGAGGTCACCTTGCTGCTGCACCCAAAACCGTTGCTTGTGCTCACTGATGCGACCGGTGTCTTTCTGTCCGGAGCCCATAGAAGCTGGCTTCTCATCTCCCACAAGCCGGAGGCGGGCACTGCTGTCCCATTGTGGCCGCAGCTGGCCTCTCGCGTGTGCTGGGCAGGGCAGGGCCCTAACTTGTGCTCGTCCGCGCCACTGCTTCGCTAACCCAAGCACTGGCGTCCGGCCAGGCGCTGTGGGCCTGCGAGGCCCATGCATGTGCCTCAGAGGGAAGCACGGCTGGGTGGGACTTGCCGTCAGGAAGGAGCGGGTGGGGGCACGGGCCACTTCCTTCCTCCAGGGCCTCCCGGGCCGGGCACCTGCTGGCCGCCAGCTGGCTCTGATCTGTCCCCTGCTTTGCCCCTGGACACTCTTTCTCCTGGCATCCGCCCCCCGGGACGCTGGCTCCTGAGTTTTCAGCCCAGCGTGCGGCTCTGTGATGCAGCCGGCCCGGCCTCCTCTGGCAAGCCACGTGTCCAGCTCGTCTCAGTTTGTTCAGAGGCACGGCGTGGTCATTGTGAGCGGGCAGGTGTCTGCCGAATCGCAGGGAGCTCTGGGCATCGCGGGACTACCCTTTTGAACCTGCTCTTTGGGCCTTCAGAGTGCTGAAGCCCCTGAGGGGCTGCGTGGCCGAGGCGTCCGCTCCCTTGCTTGGGTCTTGCGGTGCCAAGAACGAAGTCCGCACCTGCTCTGACCGGGCGGCCCCTGTGGCCCAGACGCTGTGCCCACAGCCCCTCCTTGTGTCCCTACGAGACCTGCCTGCTGTGTGCCCGGTCCAGCACCATAGGGCCAGTCTTGACTCTTGTGAGTGGAGCCTGGGCCTCTGCCTCTTGGGAGATGGCATGTGAGGGCAGCCTCTGCTGTTCTCAGGCATGGAGTAGGCGGCACCGAGGGGCCTGCTGCCCCTTCATGCGAGTCCCCCCTTTGTAGGGTGGCTGTTCCCACTGGCTTTGGCCCCTGCACTTGGTGCTGTCAGCAGCTCCGGGCTTTGCGTCCTTGACAGAGTCTACTGCGGGGTGCAGCGATGGGCTGTACACTCCCCAGCCCCGCCCTGGCTGTGGGGTCTGGACCTCAGGGCCCTGCACAATGACCTCTGCCCCCACCGAGTGCCTCTCTCCAGGGCCCGCAGAGGCGGGAAGAGGCGAGCCTTGCTTAAGGCTCACCCCGAGGGCCGAGAGCACCTTGGCCCCCACAGGACCCTCGAGGGTCTGAGGCGGTACCGCCTTTGAGGGCCTGGGCATCCCCAAGCACACCGTGGGGGGGCACAGGCAGCACTCAAGAGCCAGGCGCCTGTGCTCAGCGTCCGCCCACTCAGGCCCTCTGTCCCGGCCCAGGAGGAGCTCCTGAGGCCCTGTTGGCTGGAGCCGGACGCGGGAGCCTGGCCCGTGCCGCTGCCGGTGCACGAGGGCTCCTCAGGCGAGGCGGCAGCGTGGACGAGAGGCCAAGTGGGAACCGAGGGTGCAGCAGCCGGGTAGGAGCAGGCCCTGTTCCCTGGCTTCTGGCCCAGAGCGTGGATTTTACTGAGAATGCGGCGTCCTCAGGGCTTCTCAGTACGCGTGTGAGGCGGAGACATCTCGACCTCGCTCTGGGCGTCTGTGCTAGGTCTCATCGCGGGTTTTTATTTTATTTATTTATTTTTAAAGATTTATTTATTTATATGAGCACTGGGTACAGAGCGGGGAGCAGAGCAGGCAGAAGGACAGAAGGACACTGCTGAGGGGAGCAGCGGGCGGTGGGAGAGGTCTGCGCGCCATGCGGGACCCTTCCTGGGGGCCGGGATGGAATCGGCGCCGCAGAGGCCGCGGGCAGCTTCACAGCCCGGCGCTCAACCGCTGTGCCACCGGGGAAGGCCCCCCCCCCTATAGTTTTTTTAAGTTTCTTTTTTTACCAGGGCAGTGACTTGGCCGTGGTGGACAGATGGATGCGCTGGATTGGAAGGACAGTAGATTTTAATGTTTCAGAAGAGGACTTGTGTGTGTTCCTTAAAACGTCCGAGAAAGTGGGGAGCAGCGGCCTTGGGAGCCGCGGGTGTGGCTGTGGGCGACGGTGGCCGGAGGCGGCAAGGCCCCCACGCGCTGGCTCTTCGCAGCGGTCAGAGCGCGCCTGGTCAGAGGGAGCCAACCGCCCGGCTCCTGCCCCTGCGGACGCCGGACCCGGGCCAGTGCGGGCTGAGCCGGGGCTGGGTGACGTGCAGGAAGCCGTGGTGCGTGCGGGGGCGCAGCTGCGACCTTCTCGCCCATGCAGGGCCCGGGGGCGACTCCTCGGAGGGAAGGGGGCTGCGGGCAGGCCTGAGCCGCTCTTTCTGGGTGTCCTGCTGAAGCGCAGCACGCCGTGGGGGGCGCCTTCCGGACAGAGATGTGGACCCTTAGCGAGATGTGGTCAGCGGGAGGTGCCCCAGGGCGGCGCCTCCCGCTCCCGCTGCCTCCTTTTCTCCGATGGGACCCTCAGAAGTAGCCCTGCCCGCAGCTCCCCATTCCGCTCTCTGCGCCCCCAGGGGGCTGTTTTAAAAGTTCTTCTACACTGACCCCTCGCTCAGGGTTTCTGGGATGGGGCCTCCAGACGCTGAGTGATTTTTATTCTAAAAAACGCTGTTAGGAAGACCGCGTCCTCGAGAGAGACAGACAGACAGACAGCAGAAAGCACCGCTCCGTCCCGCGCGAGCCGAGGTCATCTGTGACCTCTGCGCACCCTCCGGCCCCGCCGGGTGCTGGGGTCCAGCGTGTCGCTGGCCTCGGCCAGGGCCGGCTGGGGTCTGTGCCGCGGCGGCCGTCCCGCATGGGGAGCGCGGAGGATGGCGCTTGCAGGGCGGGGCCGCGGGCGGAAGGCAGCCGCGAGAGGCGGGCTTGCTCCCCCGGCTGGCCCAGGAGCCTCGCGCTGGGGAGCAGCCCCAGGTGGGGCAGAGCAGGGGTCGCGCTTCCGTGGCATCCTGTCGCCGTGTAACGTCCTCTTCCCGAGCACAGCACGAACTTGTGTTTTCTTGTCCTTCCAACATCCCCGGGGGGGTCGGTAACAAGTTTTATTTTTCCATTTTAAAGATGAGAAAAATGAAGCTCGGGCTGGTTAAATGACTTGCTCGTCGTCCCTCGGTGAGTCGGGCGGGCGCCGGCGGGCAGCGCCATGGACGCGCTGCCGCGGAGGCCGGAGCCGCGTCCCCTCTGCGGGTGGCGCGTGCTGGCCCGAGCCGCCGTGCGGTCGGTGGTCGCTGAGTTCTGAAGCGCCCGAAGTTGGTGTGTGACGGGAAGGTTCTGCCGGGCTCAGGGGGCGTGGCGGTCGGCGCCGTGGAGGCTCTGAGAGGCTAACGCTGCCCAGCTGCTTCTCCGGGCCACTGTGGCGCCTGGGCCAGCGCTGACCATGCTGTGGGGGGAACACGCGGCCCCAGAGGCACCTGTAGTCCCCGCGGAGGGCGCCCTGTCTGTCCTGGCGAGCGCTCGAGGCCGCGCGTCTCACCGGCTCTCTCCTTTCTGTCTGACAGGCCTAGCTCCGCGCGGCCCTCTCTCCTGCATGAGGCGGCTCCTCCTCCGGCCTTTCCTCTCTCTTCAGTGCTGCCTGCCGTCTTAGCAACCCCTAGGATCCTGTCAGCTCCAGCTCTGTGACTGGCCGCTCCTCTCGGTGCTGCTGTTCTTTCTGGGCTCCTGGCCTCTGGCGCGTGTCGCTCTGTGGATGTGCGCTGGTAGCCGCGCGCCGTGTCCCCCGCGCTCGGGCTGGGGCGGACGCTGCACGCTGACCGGCGGCCGGGTGTCCCCATGGTGTCTGTGGCGCACGGCGGCGGCGGTGTGGCCTGACCGGGGCTGCGAGGGGCCTGCCGCGTGCCCAGAGCCCGCCGCCCGCCAGGCGCCCGCTCCCCCCTGGGTCCACCCCGTAGCATCTGCCGTGTAGTCTGTGAAGCGGCGGCGACTCTGCTTCTCTCTACTAACCCTCTCGTGCTCGGTGACTGTGTACTCGTGTCTTTCTAACTCCTAATAAACTCACCCGCTGACCGTGTCTCGGTGTCTGTCTGCTTCCTGGCCCTGCCGAGGCCGCGCCGTGCAGCTTCTGGGGAGTGGCCTGCTGGCCGCGCCTGTTCTCACGCAGCGCCCGCGCCGCTGGCCAGGGCCGGCCCCGGTGCGGCGTCTGAGGCTGTGGCTTCCGTCTGGCGGGAGCATCTGGCTTGGCTCTCTGGCCCCTTTGTGCTCAGCGTTTAACAAAACTGCCCTGGAGACGTCCTGGGGCGACAGTGCCGGGCTGTGGGGCTGAGGCGGGGCCCTCGCGGGCTCCGGGCAGCCACGCCTGCTTCCCTGGGGATCACTGCCGCTGTCCTCAGACGTCCTTGCGTCCGGAGGTTTTCGTGGGCAGTGGGTTTCCTTGACTGGAGTTTCTGATGGGCAGATGCGTGCGCGGAGCGTGCTTACACGCACAGTGGGCCGGCTTTCCCCAGGGCTAGCTCCCCCCGGTCACGGCCGGCGGCCACCCCGATGTCCATTCCGGCTCCCGCGCGGCCTCGCCCCTTGGGGTTTGGGAGGGACAACCGTTGGCGGCTTCACATTTGTCCACGTTTCTTTCAGGAAGGCACGGGATCTTTAAGGCGCAGTGGCTCCTTTAGCAAGCTCCGGGCCTCAATTAGACGGAGCAGTGAGAAGCTGGTTAGGAAGCTGAAGGGAGGAAGTTCCCGGGAGAGTGACCCCAAGAACCCCGGGTAATTATCCCCGAGCCCCGCCCCCACCGGCGGCTAACGGCCATTTTTCCTCCAAGCACAGCGTCTCTCAGTGGAACCGGCTCCAGAGAACCACCGGCCAGTTCCGGATCTTGGCAACGGCGAGTTCAGTAGTTCCAGCCTGATCCCCGCCCTCCGAGGCCCAGAAGTCATTGCGGGGGCCCCTGCTCGGAGGCGGAGTGGGGTTTACGGGACTCGCGTTCAGAGTGCGAGCAGGCCCGGCCACTGGCTGCGGGGGGCTGCCTGTTCCTCTGGCCTCTCCCCGGGCACCCTCAGGACTCGGGTCAGGCGCTCGCAGCCCGGTGCTAAGCCCGACGGGTGGTCGGCGGAAGCTCAGGCTGACAAGGCTGACGAGGCGTTTTTTAGGAGGCCGGGAAACCTCAGGCGCTGCGTGTGCCTGGGAGGCTGCCGGCGGGCCCAGGCCGGGGGAGCAGAGAGGCTGCGAGGGCCTGCCCTGTGCCTGGTCCCCCGAGGCGGTTCACGTTGGCGTGAGGGGGCTGGAGGCCTGTCTGGGTCCTCCTCGCGGGGCTGGGCGTCAGCTGTCCTCAGCGCTCAGTGGCGTCGCTTTTTCAGGCCGATTGTTCGGCGCGCTTCTCAGCGTGCACCCCGTGAAGTCCTGCCGTCTCAGGACGGCCCGTGTTCCCACAGGGCCGCTGTGGGCCTTGTCCGCGCCTGTCAGCTGCGCCCCGCCCCGTGGCTGTGAAGCGGAGGAGGGGCGCCTCCTTGCGGCTGTTCCGTGCAGGGTCTGGGCTGTCTTGCTCTGGGGGCCCCTAGTGCCCCCGACGCACAGGGGCTTCTGTGGGACGGTGGGCTCTGCAGTGCGTTTGGAGTCAGCGCGTGTCCTTATGACGCTGGCCGCTCTCCGGGGAGAGCGGCAGGTGACTCTGAGGTGGTGAGAGGCCGCACCTCCGGTGACGGGCTCTGATGGACGGCACCCGGCGGCGGGGGGCTCGGCCAGCGTGGTCGAGCGGGGCTCAGCGCTCACCAGCCTGCCCTGCTGCCGCCTGAGTCTCACTGGGGCTGCGTGAGCGCCACCGTGGGCCAGAAGGTCACGGTGCAGGCAGCGTTGGGCCAGCGGCCGGGCGTGGGGGACCCAGCGCCGGCTGACACTTTGCCGTGCGCCCCGATGCGCTGTCCGGTGGACTGAAGACAGGCCGGGGTCTCGCCCCGGGCGCGCGGGCGCTGTCTGCAGGCGACAGTGACTTCTGCTGGGAGATGAGGTTCTTGGCGGCGCCAGCAGCTCCCGTGGGTGCGCAGAACACAGGCGGCCGCTCAGCGCTTCCAGCGAGTTCTGGGCGGAGTCGGTGCCGGGGTGGCTGCAGCGGAGCCGGGCTGCGCTGGCGGCTCTCGTGGCCTGACTGGGCGCTGCTGCCGGTGTTCGGAAGAGGGTCGGGGAGGCGGTGTCTGTCTCACGGGGGAACGCGGCTCGAGGACAAGCTGTGTAGCTGCCTTGGAAGAAGGCCGCTGGCGACCGGGTCACGGTGACGGCACCAGGCTGCCGGGACACGGCTCCCTGGCGGCCTCTGTCCTCGAGCAGCTCCAGGTCGGGAGCCGCCCATCAGAGCAGCCGCCACCGGCACGCAGTGGGCGTCTTCAGCCCCCTGGGTCCCACGGCGAGTCCCGCTTGGCAGCGGGTGGGCGCAGGTCTTTGCTTCTGGCAGGGACGTCGTGTCTGCGTTGGCCGGGCGGGGTGCCCTGGGCTGGCGGCCGGGCCCGGGCCTCCCCCTGCGGGCCGAGCCCAGCGTGGCGTGGACGTGGCGCCCACAGAGCAGCCTCCTCGCGGCCCCGCGTGGCCTCGGCGCCAGGGCGGCCCGGGCGGGGTCCGGCCGGAGGTGATGTGCAGGATGGGCCATCCTTGGGCGGTGTCAGGCCGGAGGAGAAACGCTCGCGAGCCGCGTGTTCTCAGAAACGGCAAGTCGCGCAATGTTCTGAGTTTTGCTTTCTAAGCAGGAAGCTTTGTAGCTTTATCATTGAACGGCAGCTCTTTGTTCTCCCCCTTCTAACAGAACTGTGGGGGACCCAGCGTGCAGGGTGCCCGCTAGCACAGCGCGTCTCCCGCGCGGGGGGGCCTGTGACCTCCGGGGCGCAGCCTCGGGGCGCCCGTGAACCCGGCTCGGGAGGAGCCCCGTGCGGGGCCGCTTCCCCCAGAAAGCTGGCGCGGCCGGGCAGACTCAGGCCCCACCTGGGGCTGGGGGGGCTGGGCTCGGGGCTGCGCGTCTCCCCCGGACCCTGTGCTGACCCTTTGTCCTTGCATGTCCCGCCCGGCGGCAGCATGAAGCGAGCCTGCTCCCTGAATGTCCTTAACGTGGCCGGCGAGGGCGCGGAGGACCGTCTCCAAGTAAGGAGCCCCCCGCGGCCCGCCCCTCCCCCGCCTCCTCCCCGGCGCCCGGGTCCTCGGGGTTGCGCACCCCCGGCGCGTGGCCGTCCCCACACTGGCGTCAGCAGCTTCCTCGGGCCCAGCTGCGGCCCGCGAGGCGGTCTGAGCGGAGGTGGGGTGCTCGGCCCCCGGGCCCCTCCCCCGCCCCGTGGCCCTGTCAGGGTTCCGAGCTCTCGGGGGTCACTGGTGTCACGGCCGGCGCGCTGGCCGCCCACACGCACGCCTCGGCGGTGTGGAACACGAGCAGCACGTTTCCCTCACATCTGCAGCGGCCTCCTGGTCCCATCAGCAACGGCCCCTGCGGCTTGTTTCTTTTCCACGCCCGTGTCGGCCCAGGTCTGGGAGTTCGTGTGACCGGGCGCCCGGGGCCCAGGGACACCCTCCCCGCTGCGAGGAGCCCAGCGGGGGCAGGACGCTGGTGGGTGCTTCTGCGCCCCTGGAGACCGCGAGGACCTTGTTCCAGAAAGGCCCCCGTGGGCGCCCGCCCCGCCCGAGCCGCCGCCGCCTGCGGTGCTGGTGACGCGTGGTTTTCCCCTTTGTTTTTCACGCAGGAACGAAATAATTGTCTAGCAGACGCGCGAGTGCTGAGCACCAGCCACGCCGACCTGGCCCACGCGGCCGGCGCTAGCTAGACCCGGCGGAGGGAGCCGCCCGCCCGCCCCCACCCCTCGCCCGGCCCAGTGCCCTCCCACCCTGCCTGGCCCTGCCTGGCCCTGCCGCGGCCTGCCCGCCAAGGCGGTCCCCGGAGCCCCTTCCACGGGTCCCCGGGGTGCAGGCGCGGCGAGCTCTGCTTCTCGGTGCCAGCTCCGGGCCCTGCCCCCACGCCCCAGCCCGCCCGCCATCACGCCTTCTAGTTTGAGGCCGCTGTGCTCGGGGAGGTCAGGCGGCAAACACCTTCCGGCAGCCGGGCTGGGCGGTCCCGAGGCCTGCCAGGCCCTCCCCGGCCCCACAGCTGCTGTCCCTGCCGTGCCTGGGGGCCGTGGGGCGGGATCCAGGCGGGCCTGCCCTGGGCAAGGTCGGCAGCCACAGCCTTGGCCCCGACAGAGACACCCTGTGCTCCCGGGGCTGCAGCCGGGCTGCCGGAGGCCCGTGGGGATGTCGTGGGGGAGCCACAGGCCCTCCAGGACCGCTGGGCACCCGTCCCCGCGGAAGGCGTGCTCCGTCCTGGCCCGGGTTGCCGGCGGGCAAGCGGGCTGCCGCCTGCCCAGGCCTGGCCGGGCCCCTCTTCCAGCTGTGCGGGTGGACACGCTGCCAGCACCTTTGGGGCCCGGCATGTGAACGCCAGCCGGAGGGCGCCCGTCTGCGTGGTCAGGCCGAGCTGAGGGCCGGGCTCGTCCCCTGGCGCGGCTCAGGGCCCGTCACTCAGGGTGCGCGTTCCGGAGCAGACACCCCAACTGCGGCCGGAGGGCGTGTGCCCCTGCACTGGTGTGCCCCATGGGCAGCCCCGGGAGCCGTGGGGACACCGGGCACAGGCCAGGCGGGGCGCCAGCCCATCTCCCGGATGGTGCGTCCCCCCGCCACGGGGCTGACCCGCACGTGGCACTGTCCAGCCAGTCCTGTGCCCTTGGGGAGGACTCGGCGCTCTGGTGGGGGGGACTGAGGAGGCCTGGGGTGCTTGCAGGGGGGGCGAGTGCCCCCAGCTGCTGGGGGGCAGCCCTGCAGGGGTCAGTGCTTGTGCTGGGTCTGTACCCCAAGCCTGTGGGTCACCCCAAGAAATGCACTTTCTCTGGAACTTTTTTTTCCTCGCTGTAGCGGCTGCCTGGAGGGTACCGGGGTTGCTCATGTTTAAGTACAAGAATAAAGACTTTTATTTCCCGTTGCCACGTCCCGCGCTCTTCAGAAGGCTGCTCGCACACCGCAGGCCCAAAGGGCTCTCCCTTCTCTGCACCCCTCACTCCCGACCCTCGGGTGCGGCTGCTGCTGTGGCCAAGCCTCGGCGGCGCGGCCCAGGCACCCGGGAGGAGGGGCTGGTGCTGAGCCCGCGGGGTCAGGAGGGCAGCAGAGCAGGGCCCTGGGGGCTGCCGCGGCTTCCGTTGCTGGCGTGTTGGTGTGTCCGAGGCAAGGCCGGGTGGCGGGGCGCGGGCGCGGGCGGGCCCGTCCCAGGACTGGATGGTCGCCCCGGTGACGAGTCCGAGTCTGGAGCACAGGGGACGCGGCCCAGAGCGTGGTGGGGGCAGGGCCCCGAGGGCCGGCCCGAGGGCTGGGGGCCAGCAGGACACGATCCCTGCGGCCCGCGCTGTCCGCTCCTCTGTCTGCTGTGGCGGCCGCGGCCCCACCCCGTCCCACCCCCACCTCCCGTCAGGTAGGGGCGTCCGCTCCACCGCGGGCCACGCTGAGTTCTCGGGGACGCAGTGTCTGCCGGCCTGGGCGACACCCCTCGGGGGGTGGGGACGCCAGTGTCAGTGGGACTCGGTCCCCGGCACCCCCCGTACCCCCTCGGCGCTGACTGTGTAGGAGCAGGACGTGGGGGGCAGGTGAGGCGCGGAGACCACGTGCAGGGTGCGGCCAGGTGGGCTGCGGCCGGGCCCCTCCTCGGGGCGGCGCCGATCCACCATCAACCTGACCAGCAGCTGGTTGGACCAGGCGACCCCCAGGGCTGGAGCCACGCGCCCGTCCCCGGGGCTGTGCAGGGCAGACCCGAAGTGGCTCAGAGGCCCGGTCCCGCCCCCGCCCGCCCTGTCCCACCCTGCCCGGCCCGCCCGGCCCACTCACCCCTGCGGCCTGCAGCCTGGGGCCTGCTCCTCCACGGTCTCTGTCACCTGGAGGGGCAGGGCAGGGTCAGCGCAGCCCCCGGGAGAGCCAGCCCCCGGGCACTGCCGGGCACCCACCTGGTTGATGCAGAGCACGGGGCTCTGGAAGGCCCAGCTTAGCCGGCGCAGCTCCCGCCCCAGCCGCTGCAGACACCGGGCGCGGGGTGCTGCGGCCGGGCCGGCGTACTCGCAGCGGAACGGGGCCGCCACTGAGTCGATGACCAGCAGGCGCGCCATCCCCCGCGCCAGCAGCATGGGCACCTTCCTCCGCACGCAGTCCAGCAGGGTGTCCTGGGGGCAGGGGCGTCACCGCCACGTCCTCCCTCGCCCCCCCGCAGCACCCAGGTCTCCCCACGTCCCTGTGCGCCCCCCCCGCCCCCCAGCACCACCAGCCTCCTGGCCCGGCCATGGGGGGCGGCTGGGCCCTGGCCGCTGCAGCCGCCCGTCCTCCTGAGCCCTTGCTCTGAGCGACCTAGGGGGTCACCCCGACCTCCTGGGCTGGATTTCCAGGGCCGGGTGAACAGACCCGGCGTCCCTTCAGCACACAAGGCCCCCTGATGGCGTCCCGCTGTGTTTCCGTCCGCAGGGCGGCCACCGCAGAGTCTCCGTTTGCGGAGAGTGACGGCAGTGGCCTGGAGGACGCCCACGCCAACGTGAGTCCCCGCCCGCCAGGGGCTCCAGGGCTCCGGCCGGCCCAAGCACGTGGCCGCTGCCCCGGCGTCTCCAGGGCAGGGCGGGCCTGACCGCCGCCTCCTTCTCTTGCAGTGAAGCTGCCGGGCCCGCCGGCGCGAGGCTGGAGGGCCCGGGCGGGGAGCCGGCAGCACTAACCTCGTCGTCCCCGGCTGCGGTGGGCGCTGCCCACCAACACCCCGGCTGCCTGCAGGGCCGGCCCCGCGCGGACGCGCCTTACTGTACATTTTCTAAAATTAAAAGTTTACGCGGCTTTATCTCGCGTCTGCAGCTCCTTTCAGACGCTCGTAAGCTGGGGGGCTGGGGTGCAGCTGACGTCCGGGAGGTCGCTCCGGGAAGCCGGGCCGCGGGAGGCCCCGCCTCTGCACGGGCGCGAGCTGTGGGTGGTCGCGGCCTTCGGGTCTCCTGAACCCCGACTCGTGCTCGCCTCCAGCCAGCGCGGGCTGCGGCGGCCATGCCGGGCCTCCCTCCCCAGGGCGGGGGCTGGCGGGAGGCCACCGAGGACGCTGGTGTGGGTGGGGGGCCACCCCTGCGACGCCCAGACCCGGCGCAGCCGGCACTCACCACGTCGGCCGCGTGCTCCACGAAGACCTGGTCTCCGAACCGGATGCCCCTGAGCACGGCCTCCGGGACGTCGCTGCGCAGCCGCCACTGCTGGTCCATGAGCTGCTGCAGGCGCCGGTGCGGGAAGGCGTCTTCCGTGCAGACGTAGACGGCGCCTGGAACCACGCGCTCCGCTCTGCCCTGCTCTGCCCTCCGGCGGGGCTGCCTCCCTGCCGCCCCTCCCCCGTGCCTCCGTGCTGGGGCGGGAGGCGCCTGCCCATCCGGGGGCCCCAGCAAGCGGGGTGGGGCATCCCCAGAGGCGCCAAGGGGCAGCCTTCGCCCACCAGGCTGGGCGGTGCGGCGATGGTGCTTCAGGAAAAGGCAGCAAGTGCCGCCCGGGCCCACGCTGCTGCCCCGTCCCCGGGCGGAGGCCGACACCCCCGAGGGACGCGGGCTGGCCCCCCGCCTCCCTGCACTCACCGGCCGCCAGGCCTCCGTACCGCCGCGGCAGCTGCACCGCCAGGCAGAGCTGCAGCGCCAGCTGGGTCTTCCCCGCCGAGCTGCGGCCAGCCAGCTCCGTGATGCCCTCCAGGGGCAGGCCGCCGCCCAGGAGCCGGTCCAGCGTGGGGCAGCCCAGGCTCAGGCGCTGGTGCTGCGCCGGGAAGCGCTCCTTCTGCTGCAGCAGGTGCAGCGCTGGGGGAAACACAGGCTGGGAGGGCAGCCTGGCCACGGCCCCCGGCAGCCCTGGGCCCCCCCCGACTGCCGACCCACCCTCCGGGGCCCCAGTCTGGCCCCTTCCCGCGGAGCGAGGGCCCCGTCACCCACAGTCTCCCCGCCGTCCTGGCTGGGCGCCCACCTGTGAGGACGCCGCGTCCCTGCAGGCACGAGGACGCTGTCCTGAGCAGACGCTGGACGTCGGGGCCGGAGAGGCCGGTCAGGCGCTGCAGGTCGGGCGCCGAGAAGCGCAGGACGTCCTTGACGGAGCTCAGCCGGGCTGGAATCACAGGGGCGCAGGGCGGGGAGGGGTGACCCACCCGGCATGGACCAGAGGCAGCTCAGGGGCGCGCCCGCAGGAGGGAGACCTGGTGGGCAGGGGCTGGGCAGGGCTGTGGCCGGGGCAGAAGGGCAATTCTCGCTGCTACAGCAGGAGGCAGTTGGGGAGCCCCCCGTGGCCCCGGAGGCGGTTTCAGGGGAAGCTGCACCAGGATCCAAGCCGAGGGGCCTGGGGCCCTGGGGACGGGGTGGAGGGCGGCACTCTGGGAGGAGAGGGGCGAGCGCATCGGGGCGCGAAGCTTGTTACTCTCCGGGCAGCAGGAAGCAAGACGGGTCAGAACACACGCGGCCGGCCAGGAGAGGGTGGAGGTGAACAGGCCAAGCGAGGCAGGTGGCAGCCGAGGGGGTGGCCGAGCCCAGGCGCCCAGATGCGCGCGCCCCAGTGCCCGCCAGAGGACAGACCCTCAGGCTGGACGGAAACAAACAGCCCAGTGGCCACCTGGGGGCCGGAGGGCCAGGTGGGTGGGGGTGGGGGGCGCAGGGCCGGGTGGGCGGCTGGCGAGCAGCGACCTCCAGCTTCAGGAGGGCCCAGGGCCTCGGTGGGCACTGGGGGGATGGTTGCCGCCACCCCCTGGCTCCGCAGTGGCTGTGGTGTCCCGCCCCCAGCCCCGGCTGAATCGCCCAAATCGCCCCAGGTGGGGCGCGTGGGGCGGGGGCCCCCCACAGGGCACCCACAGATGCAAGGCGGGGAGCGGGCGCCAGGGACGGCGCCTCGGGGCACTTGCTCCACTTCCACACAACACGGGAAGTCGAGGCCTCTCCTTGCCACGCATCGAGGACGCCCGGCCGCGCCCCCGCCCGCCCCCGCCGGCCCGGCCCGCACCTCTCCTAGCCGCAGCGAGGATTCTGGGGTTCAAGTCCAGCTGCTCCAAGTCCATCCCTTCCCCGAGCTGACACACCGCCCGCGTCTCTTCGCAGCCCCGCCGGGCCAGGGCGCGGGGGCTCGGCCACCAGGTCTTGGAAGAAGGCCCGGCCCCTCCGTCGCGAACCGGCAGCCCTGCGCCCTCCGCCCTGCAGGACCCGCGCTCGGTGGACGCGGTGCAGGCCCCGGCCCTCCGGACGCAGCGGCCCAGTTCCCCTCAGCGGCGCTGGAGGCAGAAAGGGCAGCTTGGCAGCGGGAGGGCACCGGGGAGTGAGTTGGGCCCTGTGGCCGCCAAGCTGTCTCGGCTGAGGCTGGACTGTGGGAGACCGGCCTGGGAGGGGCCCTCCCCGGAAGGGCAGTTGGCGGCCAGCCCGGGCCCTGGACACTCGGTGCAGGGGACCGGGAGCCCCGCCCTGCTGGCCGCGCGGACTCGGCCCCGGAGGCCTCCCACAAGCCGCGTGCATCCTGGCAGCCGGGCCTGGGCTCAGACAGCAAGGCCACGGGTGCGGCAGGGCCTGGGGTTGGCCAGCTCAGGCCCATTGTTCGCTGGCGGGGCCCCCCGAAGCCTTATCTGTGGCTTGACCCTCCCCGGGAGGCAGCTGCCGCACCCAGCTCCTGGCCCCGCACCCGTGGGTGCCCCCTGATCTGGGGACACGGGCTGGCCCCATGTTCGGCCCGTGCCTGCTGCGCGGAGGCCGCCAGGATGCCCCATAGAGCCAGGTCAGGGGTCGGCAGCAGCCTGCACGAGGGAGGGTGCCGGGACACCCTTGGTCAGGACTCTCCGAGGCGAGAGGGGGGCCGCAGGGAAGGAGCAGGGGAGGCTGAGGGGCACCACAGCTCAGGGCGGTGGTCAGCAGAGACTGGGCTGGCCACCCCTGTCAGGGCGGCGTCCCGGGCCGCGGGTGTAGGACGGGGGACAGTGGACGCCCCTCCCGGCCAGTGAGCAGAAAGGAGCCATGTTCCCCCAGCCACTCGGGGGGACTTGAGACCTTCAGGAGACCCCGCTCCCGTCTGGAGTGAAGCCCGAGCCTTCCCTGGACACCCCCTCCCGGGTTCGGGCTCTTGGGAGCAGGCGGAGGGCAGGACGGGGTGGGCCACCTGCCTCCGCTTTGCAGCAGGAAGGGCCTTGCCGAGGGGGGCGCCCCTCGCGACCAGGACCCTTCGGGGCGGCACCCGCCAACCAGGCGGGGCACCTGGCAGCACTCCCACCCCGGCACAGGCCCGGCAGACCCCCGGGTCAGGGCCGGTCGGGGCAGCTGCTGCCGCGGCGGTGCTGGTGGGCTGGCAGCGTCGGGGGCGCCGGGCACAGGGAGGAGGGGCCGGCCGGGGCCCCGGGACTGGGCCTGGACCGCAGCACGCGGCGCTGCCCTCAGGGGCCGGCGGCCACAGACCCCGCGCGGCCGCGCGTCTCCCCACGGCCCCCCTCAGCCGCCTGGGGGTGCGGCCGTGGGGCCTCCCGGGCCGCCGCCATCCCGGAGCGTCCGGCGAGGCCCTCCCTGTCCTCCGGGCGGCGCTTCTCCGGGGGCCCAGCCGGCCCCCCTTGGGCGCGCCCCTCCCCGAGGCCCGCGCCCCGGGCGGCACCTGCTGGGCGTCCCCGGGCGCGCTCGGCCCCGGAGCCCGCGCGCCGCCCCTCCCCGCGCGGCGCGTCTGAGGCGGGCCCCGCGGCCTCCCCGGCGCCCGGCCCGCCCCCCCCGCGGCCCCCCCGCCCCCCCGGCGCCCCGGCCTCCCGGCGCCCCCACCCCACCCCACCCCACCCCACCCCACCCCCGGGCCCCCCGGCTCCGGACCTGCGCGCCGCACACCTTCCGCGCGCCGCACGCCTCTTCGCGCCGTCCCGCCCCTCGCGCTCTCCTCCTCCAATGAGCGCGGGGCGTCCGCCTAGGCTACGCCAATCAGAGAAGAAGCGGTGACCACGTCGCCAATTAACTGGCCAATCCAAAGTCCCAATTGCCGGGGAGGGGCGGAGCGTGCCCGGGCCGTCCCTCATCACCGGTTGGCGGCCGAGCGCAGGGTGGGCGGAAGGGCCCGCGCGCGGATTGGAGAGGGCCGTGGGGGGGCGGGGCCTGGGCGCCGATTGGCCCGCGCGCCGGGCCGGGCGCGGCGATTGGGCGCGGGCGCCGCCGGCGGGCGGGGCTCGGGGCCGGGGCCGGAGTGCGGGGCGGCGGTCGCGGAGTGGCGTCATGGCCTCCGAGGTGGCCGCGCGCCGCGACGCCAAGACGCTGGTGCGCTCGCCCAGCGGCCTCCGCATGGTGCCTGCGCACCGCGGCCTCGCCAGCCCCTTCGGCCTGGAGGAGCCGCCGTGGGTCCCGGACAAGGAGGTGGGTCGCGGCCGCTCGCGCCCGGGCCCGGCCGTCCCCGCCGTCCCCCCCCCCCCGCCCCGGGCGTCTCCTCGGGGGGCCCGCCGCGCCCCCACCCCCCGCCGCGCCCCCACCCCCCCCCGCCACGACCCCCCCCCGCCCCGGGCGTCTCCTCGGGGGGCCCGCCGCGCCCCCACCCCCCGCCACGACCCCCCCCCGCCCCGGGCGTCTCCTCGGGGGGCCCGCCGCGCCCCCCCCCGCCCCGGGCGTCCCCTCGGGGGGCCCGCCGCGCCCCCCCCCCGCCGCGCCCCCCCCCCGCCCCGGGCGTCCCCTCGGGGGGCCCGCCGCGGCCCCCCCTCCGTCTGCCGCGCCCCGCCCCGCCCCGGGGTGCGCCCCCGGCCCCGCCTCCCGCGAGTCGCCCCGGGGCCCTCGGCCCGCAGCCGGCCCGGGCCTGGACACGGCCGCGCGCGGGCCCCGGGGCTCCGGCGGGCGGCGGGGGCTGCGCTGCTCCCAGACGCCGCGGCCGGGCGGGCCGGGAACCCCGCCGCCGGCGGGGGGCGCTGGTGCGGCTCTGAGTCGGGAGCTCGTCGGCCACTTGGGGAGGCCCTCGGAGGGGCGCGCCCCAAATCCCGACTGGCCGCCTTCCTCCCGCGCCGCCCCCCAACGGGGTGTCTCGGGCCGCAGACTGGAAGGGGGCGCCATCCTGGGTCGCCGCGCGAAGTCGGGGTGAGCCCTCTGTCCAGAGCGGCCTGGAAGCCGGGCGCGGCCGTCCTCCCCCGGCAGCCTGTCCAGCTCCTCCGCGGCACTTTGGCCCTTGCGGGCCTGGAACGAACAGACTGGACCGTCCCCTGCTGGGGCTGCCGGGGTAACCCCAGGGTGTCCTCCGGGCCCTCCCGCGGCCCCCCCAGGAGCCTCCTCAGATGCCCCCCAAGCGGCCCTGGCCAGCTTCTGGCGGCGCCGCCGCGGGGCTGTTGGGACGGCCGGGCGCTGCCCCTCGCTGCCCCCTCTTCCCGGGCTCTGGGCTTCCCAGGCCACGTCCTGCTCTCCCGCCGGCCGCCTCATGTCGGGAGCCTGGGGCCGGAGCGCTGGGGTCCAGCCCCACCTGTTATGGGGTGTCATCCCCACGAAGACCCCGGCTTGTTAGGCGGCCCAGTGAGCCAGGTGCTGCGGGGCGGGGGCAGGAGGCCTTGGGGCTGCCTGGGTGGTGTCGCCGGTCAGGGGCCTGGGGGACAGACGGGGCGCCCTGGGAGCAGGGGTCGGCCTGGTGGGCGGGGGCCGGCGGCCCAGGTGTGAGACCGGGGTGTGCGCTTGGGACAGGAGGGCAGGGGTCGCTGCCCTGCCTCCCCTGGGGGTCTGGTGGGCGCCTCGCCATGGCTGGGTCCCCTGAAACGGTTGGAAAGTTGGGGGGGTGTGAGCGCCCGGGTGGTTTGTAACTCGGCTTCTCTGCGGTCAGCCCGGCGGGTCCTTCTCCAGCGCCAGGCTCAGCTCCCGGGGCTGGTGCGACTGCGGCCCATGAGGGTCCTGGGGGCCCCACCCAGTGTCCACGGGCAGGGGCGTGGGCTTGGGCGGCCACAGGCAGCCCCAGGTCTTGAGTTTTACCCCTAAAACCTGTGCACCCGCCTCGCCCGCCCTCCGCCCTGCCCTCCGCGAGGCGGTGACGAGGGTGTGGCCCGAGACGGCGCTGGGTGGGGGAGGCCGTGAGGAGGGGACCGGCTTCCTGGGGTCAGGTCAGGCCCCCGGGCCTCTGGCGCCCCAGCTGCCCAGACACCGGGGCGGAGAGCGGGACCTGCGGGGCCTCTGGCTGACCCGGGGCTCACCTGGGGAGGGGTTCTCAGAGCACTGGATGGGGAGCTGCAGGCCGCCCAGCACGGCACCTGGCCGCGGGCCGGGGGACACGTCACCCCTGTCCTTGCTCGCTGGCGTCTGTGCCGCACGGCACGGGGCGGGTGCAGTCGGGTGTGCCCCCCCTGCCTGGTGAGCGGGGCATCCTTGGAGCCCGGCCCGCGGCCCTCTGCTCTGGGGTGGCCGGCGCGGTCGCCCCCAGCCCCAGAGGGAATGACCTGGACGTCAGCCGGCGCCTGCTCTCCCCCCCGCCCGGGCTCCCGCGCTGGCCGTGGGAGTTCGCGTGTGGCCGACAGGCGGGGCCGCTCAGCCTGGATTGTGTTTCTTGTCTTGGCAGCTCGTGCCTACCTTTAAGGGGGGACTTTGACTCTCGGGCGTGGTCCTTCCACTGCCAGCTCCACCTGAGCCCACGCAGCCCCAGCCCTGCTCGGGGGGCCGGGGCGGGGGGGGCCGGAGCGGCAGCGGTCACGCTCCTCACCCTTTGCTGGCCACCCTGCCTTGAGGCTGTGGGGGATCCCACGCCTGGGGGTGTCTGGGTCAGGGAGCAGCGTGGCACACGGAGGCCGGGACCCCGCAACCCTGCGGAGGCAAAGGCTGTGCGGAAGGCTCTGGAACTGGCAGGCATGGGCAGCATCAGCGCTCGAAGTGGCCGGCCCGCTGCCCAAAGCCCGCGGGGAGTCTAGGTGGTTCTGGAAGGGAAGGGGGATGGCTGGATCCTGTGCCCAAGTCCAGAAAGCGGCACAGACCAGAGGAGGCTCCCCAGACATCGCGCCTTCCAAGCTCAGGGGAGCCCGCGCTGGCCAGACGCCCCCTCAGCACTGCAGGGCCCGGCCCTGGCTGCTGGGGCCACTCGGGGCAGGCGTGGGCCGGAGGGGGCGCCTCTCTCCTCACGGGCTGCCTGCCTGGCGCCGGCCTGTGGGCCTCCGAGCAGGGCTTCCCAAGCGGGGCACAGAGCGGGGGGCACCGCCCCAGGGGAGAGGCCAGGCAGGACGGAGGCAGGACCCGAGGCTCCCGGGCCCGTGACATCCTGTGGTCCCGGGGCCTGGGCACCCGTGAGTGCCACGCAGCGACAGGGTCCGGGTGTAGGTCGGGGGCCCTGGCGGTGACCTTTGGCCTCCCGGGGCAGGACCGGGCGGGCCCTGAGGAGGGGCCCCCAGTCCTCAGAGCCGGCCTCTCCCGTCTGGGGTTCCGGCCCAGGCGGCCTCGGGTCCCTTCCGGGCGCGAGCGAGGGGTCCTGGGAGTCCCGGGCACAGAGCGCGAGCCCTCCCCGACCCTGGCCGCCGGGCGCCAGCACAGTCGCGCTGTGACCTCTGCCGCCCGTCCCGCTCCTGCCCGCCCCTGGCCGTGTGGGAGGTGACCGCGCTGGGCCCCGGCTCCCCGCCCCCGCCCCGGGCCACCCGCCAGCCCGGCCTCACCCGCCTCCTCTCCTAGTGCCCCCGGTGCATGCAGTGCGACGCCAAGTTCGACTTTCTCACCAGGAAGGTGAGCGGCGTGGGTGGGGCGGGCCGCTGGGGCGCCCAGTGGGTGAGCCCGCCCGGAGCACCCGCCCCTCCGAGCGGCCTCCCGACCCAGGCGCGCCCCGGGCGCGGCCGCCCCCCTCACTGTCGCCCGGCCCCCAGCACCACTGTCGCCGCTGCGGGAAGTGCTTCTGTGACAAGTGCTGCGGCCGGAAGGTGCCCCTGCGGCGCATGTGCTTCGTGGACCCCGTGCGCCAGTGCGCGCGCTGCGCCCTCGTGTCCCTGCGCGAGGCCGACTTCTACGACACGCAGCTCAAGGTGCTGCTGAGCGGTGAGTGGGGCGGGGGGGGGGGGGGGGTGCGGTCGCGCCCCTTCGGCAGCCCCGGGGTGGGCGGGGGGCGGCCCCCGGTGGCCCCGGCCCCCTCACGCGCTCTTCCCCCAGGAGCCGCCTTCCTCGTGACGCTGGGGGGCGCGCGGCCGGAGCCCATGGTCTGCCGACTGTCCAGCGACCAGAGGTAAGGGGGGCGGGGCGGGCGGGGCCCGGAGCGCGAGCCCACGCCCTGTTTGCGCAGGTTCCTGCTGCTGGACGGGGACCGCCACCGCGAGCTGGAGGTCGCGCGCATCGCCGGGGTGCAGGTCCTCGCCGAGGGCGGCCCCGCCGCAGGTACGGGCCTGGCCGGGCGGGGGGCAGCGGGGGCGGGCGGCTCCCGCCTCTGGGACTCGGCCGGGCGCTCGCCGCGGGCCGCCCCTGCGCAGAGGGCCCGGAGCCCGGCTGTGCCGCCTGCCTGCGCCGCCCCGCCCGCTGCGGGCTCTTGCTTCGGGGCCCCCAGTTCTGGGAAAAAGTCCTTCCTGGCCCACCTGCGGGGGGTTTGCCCAGGGGGCGCTGCTCCTGGGGCGCAGGCCCCCGGCCCCTTCATCCTCCCTGAGCCCCAGACCACGAGGCTGAGCCAGGCCAGGCGGGGGTTGGCGGGCCCGGTGCCCCCCAGCGCGCGCAGGTCCGGGGCGCCCGTGAAAGGGCAGTGTGTGGAGAGGCGGGGACCAGCCCAGGTGCCCCTTTGCCTGCCCCCCAGGGAGCTTGGGGCCCAGGAGGGCGCTGCTGCTGCTGCTCCCGCAGACCCGGGGCCTGGGGGGAGGGCGGGCGGTGTCCAGGCCCCCCCCCAGCAGCCTCGGTTGGCGGCGCGGCGCGCCCCCTGGCGGCGGCCTTAGGGGCAGCGTCTTCCTGCTGTCGGCAGCTCCTGAACCCCCGCTTCAGAGTCTCGCCGTGGGCGTGAGCTGGGGTCCCTGGGCTGAGGGGCCGGCGGCCAGCAGCCTGCGTCTGCGCACAGGGCAGTGTAGCTTCTGTCCGGGCTCAGGGACTGGGCCCGGCAGGTCTGGTGCAGCTGTTTTTTGGGGGGGCGGGGGGGAGAGGCAACGGCCCCTGCCTGAGCAGACAGGGCAAAGAGGCAGCAGGTGCGCAGAGCCAGAGGTCAGGGCCGGCTGGGGCCTCTGGGTGTGGCTCAGGTCTGCGTCTGATGGAATCTTCAGACTCGTTTTACTGCTCGGAGTCACGGGCGGAAAAGCCGCAGGTGGGTCCCCACAGGGTGGCACGTCTGGGCAGCAAGTGCCCCCTCCCTGGGACAGGCCCAGGGGCCTCGGCGCCGTCCAGGTGGGGCACGTGGGCCGCCCCTCGGCTTGGCCCGGTCTGACTGCTCTCCCGGTGGCCCCGGCCCCAGGGGTGTGTGATGAGCCTGGCAGGGCTCCCAGCGGCAGGAACCTCGCTGGCAACGGCTGGCTGGCCTTTGGGCAGTGGCCCCCAGCAGCTGCCCCAGCCCCCGCTTGTCACCTCAGGGCATCCACGGGAGGGCGGGGCCTCCGCGCGAGGGCTGGGGAAGGCCACCGGCCACCGCATCAGGGCTCCTGGCAGGTCAGCCCGTGTCTCACCTCGTCCCTCTTCCAGGAGGCAGCGCCCGGGCCACCGGCATGTCCCTGCAGTACGTGGCGCGGGGCGCGGAGGACGTGGCCCAGCTGAGGCTGGCAGCCCGGGAGGACTCGAGCACCGGCAGGAGGCAGTCGACCGCGTGGCTGGTGGCCATGCACAAGGTGGGCGCGCTGCCGGCCGGTGCCCACCCCAGGCCGCCTTGCCCTGTGCTCACTCGCCCCGCCTTGCAGGCCGCCAAGCTCCTGTGCGAGTCTCGGGACCAGTGACCGCGGCGCCCTGCAGGCCCTGCCCGGAGCAGCTGGCCGCCAACGCTCCACAGCTTCAGGCTTCAGGGTTTGCGCCTGCCCGGGCCTGGGCGGACAGACCACCCGCTCTGCTGCCGGGCACGCTGGCCTCTGTGGGCACCACCTGCTGGCGCCCCATCTCCCCAGGGCTGTGCACCGCGGCCCGATGCTGGCCCGGGACAGGCCTCCGCTGGCCACTGCAGGGAAGAGCTGGTCATGCGTTTTATACTTTTCACTTAGTATTTCACTTTATTAAAATAACTGTATAACAATTTGTATATAAACCTTGCGATTCAATCTCTTCTGGAAGCACAGCCCGCCCTCGCTCGTGGGCTGCGCGGCGCTGGGGGAGCACCTTGTTGTGCATGTACAGGCGCGGGCAGGCACCCCAGCTGCGTGGCCTGCGCCGTCCACACGACCGCACACGGCGCGCGGGGGCATGCACGAGGCCGGGCTCTGGACGGCCTGGTCGGACACATACCGTGCCCGCCTGTGGGGCCGGGCCAGGGCCAGCCCCTCCGCCCACCGCGGAGCTGCAGCCGCACGGCCGGCTGAGTGTCCAGCCCGGGGCTGGCGTGAGTGGGGCCGCCGGCGAGGAGGGGATGCAGTGTGGACAGCGGGTCGGGCTTCCGCCCCAGGGTGGGCTCTGGGAGGGGCGGACCTCGAGGCCACTGCGTTTTCAGCTGGGGTGGCTTAGAGAATGGGGGTGGCCTGGGGACCAAGTGGGGGTGCTGACCTTCGCTGGCGCCCGGGCCGGGTAATTACAGGGCTGCGCGCTGGCAACAGGCGGCTGTTTTGAAAGCTGAGTATTTATTTGGATTTACAGTAATTGGCAAAGTTCAGTCTTCAAGAGTCCCCCGGTCTCAGGCGAGCTAAGGGCAGGTCCCGCCCAAACACCGGCAGGTTTCACATTGTGGGCGCCGGCCGCTCCAGGGGCTCAGGCGAGCGTGCGCTGTCGGGGCTTGATCCGCGGGTACAGCTGGGAAGGAAGGGGGCGAGTTGCGCTCCTGCCCTGCCCTGCCCGCCCCCCCAGCACCCAGCCCTCACCCTCTCCTGGAGCCCACATGTGGGGTCAGCGCCAGGGCTCCCACAGGCAGGCGCTGCCCACCCCCTGGGGCCGCAATGGCAGGGGCAGCGCCTACCCCAGCCAGCCCGTGGACGTTCTGCCCCAGGGGATTCTCGCCCCGCGGGAACCGGGCACACGGCTGGAGGGCGCGGCGTCCGGAGGGGCCAGGCCGGGGGGCGCGGCTGGCCGGCAGGGGTGGGCACCTACCCCCAGCAGGTTTCTGGGCACGTAGCCCTCCCGGTCCCCGAGGCGCGCCCACCACCACTCGGTCTCGCGCTCGTCCCTGCGCCGCAGGACGGTGATGGCGTCGCCCTCGCGGAAGGACAGCTCGTCGCCGTTCTGGGCCTCGTAGGCCCACAGCGCGTACACCAGGCCCTTGTTCATCACGCCCAGCTTCTCCTGCACGCCTGCGGGGACAGCCGCGCTCAGCGCCGGGCCGCGCGGGCCGAGGGGCGCCCCAGAGGCCGCCCCCGCCGACGGTCCTCGGCCCCCCGGACTCGCCCGGCCGGGCTCCGGGAGAGCCGCGTCCCGAGAGCCGCGGCCGAGGGCGCGGGGGGCGGCCCGCCCCGGGCCCCGCGCCGCCACGCACCGTACAGGAACTGCGAGCACTGCGCGTAGCCCTCCTCCATCTCCTCGCACTTGTCCGCCGCCGTCTCGATGTCGCTGATGGTCGAGGCGAAGATGGCGGCGCCGCTCTCCACCAGCTGCCGGCACAGGTGCGCGCTGTTGCAGGAGGCGGCGCAGTGCAGCGGGGTCCTGGGGGGCAGGCGGCGGCTCAGGCCCCGCCCCCGCCCGCCGGCCCGCCCCGCCCGCCCGCCGGCCCCGCCCCGCCCGCCCGCCGGCCCCGCCCCGCCCGCCCGCCGGCCCCGCCCGCCGGCCCCGCCCCACCCCGCAGGCCCCGCCCCGCCCGCCGGCCCCGCCCCCGCCCCGCCCCCGCCGCGGGGAGGCCTCACCAGCCGTCGCTGTCCGCGGCGTTCACGTTGACCCCGAAGTCCAGCAGGAACTTGACGATGTGGTGGTGGCCCGCGCAGACGGCGTTGTGCAGCGGGGTGATGCCCTCGTCGTTGGGCTTGCTGGGGTCCTCCACCTGGGCCCAGGGCGCGTCAGCGCGGGCCGCCCAGCCCCCTCCCGCCCAGCCCGCACGCGCCTACCTCGTAGATGACCCTCTGCACCAGGTCGAACTCGCCCTCCAGGGACGCGTCCAGCAGCAGCGCCAGGGGGCTGAAGCGCACCCGCAGCCCGCGGCCCGTGCGCTCCGAGTGGGGCTTCTTCAGGTTCGTGCGCTTGCCCTGCGGGGCGCAGGTGACTCGCCACAGCCCGCGCCCGCCCCAGGCCCAGCTGGCCCAGCGCTGCCCCAGGCGGGGGCTCCCGGTGACACCCCCCTCCCCCGCCCGTCCTTCCGTGCCAGAGCAGCCTCCCCCCCTCAGGCACCTCCCGGGCCTCCCTGACCGGTCCCTGGCCATCGCCCAGGCGCCCCACATGCCCCGGGTCTCGCTGTGGGGAGCCCTCGGTGGACGGGCGGGCCCTGGCTAAATGGCAGCGTCCCCAGGCCCAGCCCGGCCCTGGGCGACACGCACCGTGGAGGCTGCCGGTGGGGGCGCCTGCTCCTGCCCCGGGGAGGGGGCCTCGGCCCCAGGGCTGGGAACCTGCTCGGTGGTGGGGGCCGCAGCCAGGTTGTTGTTGTCGTCCTCGGCCAGTGGCGGGGGCGTCTGGGGGCAGGGGGGGCCTCGGGGCCGGGGGAGGGCAGCTGGTTGTCGTTGGCGTCGGAGCCCGGGCCGGGCGCTGCGGGCGGCGGGCCGGTGGGCGGGGCGGGCCCGTCCTCCCCCAGGTTGCCGTTGGCATTGGTGTTGCCGTTGTCCACGTCGGCCAGGGTGCCGGCGAAGTCCTGCGAGGGCCCGGGCTGGTAGAGGGGGGTGCCGTCCACGCCGCCGGCCAGCGTGTTGAAGCGCTGGTACAGCAGCTTCTGGATGTTGGGCCCGCCGGGGCCCTCGGGCTCAGTGATGGAGCTGCGCTTCTTGAGGGGCCGCGGCGCGTTGGCCAGCCGCCTGCGCAGCGCCTCCAGGTCGGCGTCGCTCTGGTAGCGCAGCGGCGAGTGCACCATGGGCGTCAGCTTGGTGGGGCTGAGCGGCCGTGCCAGGCTCTCCACGGCGCCCGGGCTGCCATCGGCGGGCGCGGCCGGGCCGTCCTGCTCTTCTGGCTCCCTCTCGGCACCCTCGGGGGGTGGCGGGGGCGCAGGCCCATGGAGGAATGGCAGGGGCGACGGGGACGTGGAGCCGGCTGGCAGGACAGGCTTGCCGTACACTGGGGACAGAGCACGCACCTCAGCGGCCTCGGCCGGGACCCTGGATTCTCATCCCCCATGGCGCCCTCTGCTCAGAGGCCCGCGCCAACCGGAGGGGTCCCTCCAGTGGGCCAGCCTGACCCCGGGGGCTCTGGCACACGTGGAGAAGGAACACTGTGACCTGCCCTCTCCTGCCCCAAGTCAGCCCGGCTTCTGGCCGGTGGAGACACACCACCCCTGTGCGGCGCCTGACCCTGGACACTGCCCCACGCGGCCCCGCGGCCGTGCAGATCAGCCCCGCTGGCCAGGGGAGGAGGCGGCAGCCTTTCCCAGCCGCAGCAGACCGGACGCCTGGGCCTGGGCACCCTGGGGATGCCTGAGCCCGCGGGCTGGCTGCCGCCGTGCCCAGGGACCCCTGAAGGGCCCGCCCACAGTGGAGCGGTGGGGGCAGCTGCACGGCCTCGGAGCCCACCTGGAGGGGCGTGGGGAGCCGAGCTCTGTTCTCCCCGCAGTCCCCACGGCGCCTGGGCCAACATGGCCAAGAGCCGCAGACACCCCCTCACCCCTGCCGCCCTGCGCCAGGACCTGGACACAGCTCGCCACGGAGGCCGGGGCCCAGGTCCAGGCCTTGCTCCTGTGCAGGGGTCACCTCAGAGGAGGGGAGAGAGGAAACCTGGGCCCAGCCCCCGAGTGGGGGCTTCCGGGTGGCGCGGGGCTCAGGCAGGCAGAACGCGCCCACCTGCAGGCGGCTCCGCACATCCCCCGCCTGGCCCCTCGTACACGCCCAAGGTGAGGACGGAGCGGGCGTGGAGCAGCTCGCGGCCCATGGTCAGGGCGCAGGTGGCCTCTCCTCCCGGAAGAGCCTCCCGCCTGGGCGGCCGCCTACCTGCTTTGACCGGCTTGCTGGGGGCGCCGTGCACCGCCGGCTGGTAGTTCTTGGGCGGCGTGGCTTGCTGGAGGTACATGGAGTATATGGAACTAGAGTTCACTGTCTGCGGCCCTTTTCGGGGGGACTGGGGCCGGGACCCTTTGTCGGCCAGGAAGGGCCTGATGGCCACGGTCAGCGGGAGCTCGGGCTTGCCGTCTCCAGCTGGAAACGCGGGCGGCGCCGCGGGCGGGTGCGTGGGGCTCGGCGGCACGGAGATCCTCTGCTGGATCTGCTGCGAGGAGCCGGGCGGGTGCCCGCCCCCCGGGGGTGGCAGCGGGGCGGGCTTCTGCCGACCGGGCAGGCCCGCGCTGGGCCTGGGCAGGCTGCCCTCCTTCCTCCTCTCCAGGGAGTCTGTGGACCCCGGGCCCACAGGCGGGGGGCCGGCGTGTGCCCCGTAGCTGGAAGGCAGCGGCTTGCCGGCAGCAGGCATCGGGGGCGGCGCCTTCCCGACCTCCACGCCCTGATCGGGTGCGAAGGAGAAGGCAGTCGCCCAGGGCCCCGCACCGCCACCCGCGGCACAGGAGAGACCAAAGGCGGATGTGAAGCCTCCACCCAGGGGTGGCCGGGACACGGGCTGGGGCAGCACCCGGGGCTCAGCTTCCAACCCCGCAACGGGGCACGGGGGCAGGGCGGCGGCGAGGGGCTTCGGCATCCGAGAGCGGGCCAGGACCTACCAGCTTCTCTGGGGCCCCCAAAGCCGACAAGGGCACGGGTTGGCTCGAGACGGCCCCCGGTTTGAGCGGCCCCTCCACAGCCGGATCCTTCCAGTCCGCGCCGGCCACCTGCGCTGCCTTCACCGAGTTGCTGCTGTTCTGCTTTAACGTGGGCCAGTTTCCGTCGTTAGCTTGAAAAGAAGGCAGGATTTAAGTCGATGTTTTCTTGAAATTAGTTGAACCAACATAAGAACAGTCTCCTGGGATACCACGTTCTGCCGGAACCCGTGACCCAGCCCTGCCCGGCCCGGCCCCACCCTGCCCACGCGTGGCGCCATCACTGCTGCCACGTGTGCCTGGGACGCGGCTGGGCAGGCACAGGCGCCGCAACCGGGTGAGGGGACGGAGACCCGCTGGACATTCGCTGCCCCTAGTACAGGTCAGGTCCACCCGGGGACACCAGCAAGGGCAGTAAGCAGGGAGCCCGCGCTGCGGCCCCTGCAGCCCCGTGAGATCACCTTCCGGGTAAGGACACGGTCTGGGGGCATTTGCCTGGAGTCTGCTAGAAACCCCGCCCCGGGTGGCACGGCGGTCCAGCCCCCGGATGGGAGCGGCGCCTGTCACTCGGGTGCGTGGTGAGCGCGTCGGGCAGCCGGGGCTCGAGGAGACTGAGTGGGATCTCACGCAGCGTCTTCCCGACGGAAAGAGGGCGCACACTGGCACCCGGGTGGTGGGGCTGCGGGCAGCCAGCCGCCAGGGGCAAGGAGGGCCTGGCCCCTCAGGACCGGCAGGGCGCGGAGGCAGGGCACGGCTCGTGTGGGAAGGAGCAGCCTCCGTGCAGTGGGGCAGGACCAAGCTGGGCCCTGCCAGAACTCAGAAAATCCTCTTCGTCTCTTACGATCAAAATCAAAAAACCTCTGCTGTGCCGGTGCCTGGAAGGCCGTGCAGGGGCTTGGGGAGGGGCTGCCCGGCCCCCCACCTGGGGCCCTGAGGAGGCACAGTCACGCTCAGGAGGCCCTTCCTTCAGCCCAGGTGCGGCTGCACACCCTGTCAGTCTGGAGGCAGAGCCAGTGCGTGGGGGCGCCGCGGGGGGCCTGCACCTGTGTGCGGTTCACAGGCTTGGAGGCTGCCGGGAGGAGCTGGAGTCAGGCCCGACGTCGAGGGCTGGCACTGCCCCACAGACCCAGAGGTGGGTCTCCCACGCCGCCCCTGTGCACGGAACCGCGTGGGGAGCGCTCCACCTCTGAGCGGGGTGAGCCCACCTCCGGGCAGCCGGGCTATGCCACAGCGGAAAGGCGGCACCAGAGCTCGGACGAGGTGCCCGGAGGGAGCGGGAGACAGAGCAGCACAGCGGCCCGCAGGAGGGAGCCCGGCTGGCCCAGGGTGTGCGGGGGAGCAGCGTGCGGTCACGGGCTCTGTGCTCGGGGGCACAGAGGGTGCCGGCCCTGTCTGCTCACACCCTCCCTGGGGCCCGCGAGCCGCCGGCATGTGGGCTCCGCGTTACTAGGACCAGGCTGAGGGGCGGGGCAGCTCAGCCTCGCGCCCGGGTGTGGCCGCGCCCCCGAGAACCACCTGCGGAGGGTCAGACCCATTCCGCTCCGCTGTCTGGAGAGACGGTAAGGATGGCGGGTCGAGGCAGAGGACCCCGAGGGCCACGGTCGCCGGGGCTGTACACACGCCTCCTAGACTAGCGGGGAGGCCAGGCTGGCCGCCAGCACAGCCCTGGTGACTGGCCCTGGCCCTGGCCCTGCCCCCACCAGCCTCCCTGCTCACCCCCAACGCGGCGGCCCAGGCCTCTCACCAGATTTGGACCTTCCGTGGGTCGCGCTGGAGGCAACGGAGAGCGAGCGGGGTTTGGCGGGCTCCCCCGGGGCGGGGCCGCTGCCGGTGCTGGGGGCCTGGATGTAGGGCCCCACGGCCGCCACCCGGCCCGGCGTGCCCAGCGGGGACTGCGGCGAAGATGTGCCGTTGGCGCGGCTCAGCTGCGGGACGGAGGGAAGGAAGGGGCGGGCGCTCAGCGACTGGCGCTCGGGACACGCCCCCCGCAGGGGTCAGCAGTGAGGAGGGGCACGAAGGCCCCTCGCAGGGAACCCCTGCCCGCCTGCTGGGGGCCGTGAAGCGGGCTTCCTGGGGCCCTGCGGCTGCCCCTCTCACCGGGGACACGCGTCCCCCCTGGGTCCCGCCCGCAGCAGCGCCGTCCGGCCTGGGCACAGCCTGGCCCGGTCCTGCTCTGCTGCTGCGGTGCCTTCTTGGGCCACTGGCTTGGCCCCGGAACCCGCGCGGCCGCCAAGTCTGAGCTGAGCCCTCCTGGCAACCCGCCGCGTGGCCGCGCCCGCGGAGCGCCCCCCTGGCCTTGCCTGGATCCGCTTCCCGTAGAGGCGCTCGCGGAGCTCGCCGATCCGCTTGTCCATCATGGCCACCTCCATGTTCCGCTTGTTCAGCAGCTCCTTCTGCTGCTGGAGCTTTGAATTCTGTTCCTGGTTAAGCTGGTTACGAATCTGCAAAAAAATACCATACAGCCTTCGTGCACCCGTCGACGGTCCGTGCTCATTGCCGGGGAGGTTTGAAAAGGAGAAGCAGCACCAGGTGCTCACGTGGCCCACGCGCTGGCCCGGCCCAGCGCGGTCACACCCGACCTGCTCAGCGGCTGCGGGTCGTCCTCACAGCACAAGGAGCGGCAGGGCAGGCGGCTCCGGCCTGGCTAGTCCTGGGTGGGGCGCCCGCAGGACCCTGCTGGGCACAACCCCCTTTCAGCAACCCCCCAGGTGCGGGGCGCGCACAGGCACGAGCGAGGCCGGAGGGCGCGGGCGCGTTCACCCAACTCCGGACCGCGGTAAAAAGGCTGAAACGCGGTGTCCTCGCGGCGCTTTCTTACACGCGGCCCAAGAGGGCCGCAGCTGCCCGGTCGGCAGCAGGCAGAGCGCCTGGGAGACGGTCCCGGGGACTGGCAAGGAACTTCAGCAGCAAGCAGGCTGCGTGCCTTCTGGCTCAGTATTCTCGTGGAATAAAATGTTCGTCTTTCCGTAGCAACTGCCAATAGCGAGACTCGCTTCTGCTGAGTGCTGACGGCTGAGAAATGGGCTCTGAGGGAGCGCCGACACCCGCCCCGAACGCCCAGGCGGCACCCCGGGGCTCCGTGTGAGGCTGCAAGGAGGCGGGGCCTCTGAGAGGTGGTGGGCTGAGATGGGTCTGGGGGGTAGGGCCCCAGGCAGGGGTCCTCAGAAGAGGAGGGGCTGGAACAGCGAGGACAGCGCGGACTTGTGCGTGAGAGCCGGGCAGGGCCGCCTGAGGGCAAGGCCTGGTGGGGCAGGCGCCCGCTGTTGAGCAGGGGTCAGCAGCGGCCCCGGTGCCACCAGGCAGTCACAGAAGCTGTCAGTAGCGCCCAGGCCTCACCCGCCTCGCTCGGTGGCCGGAGCCCAGTTCTGCACGGCGCAACCTGGCCTGTGCGGCCCCCCACACCCACGGAGCCCCACCTCGTCACCACCCCCTGCTCGTGGAGCCCTGTTCCCCTGCCTTCGGCCCCCTCCATTCCCCCTTCATCCCCTCCCCTCCGCCCGTGGAGCCCCGCCTGCACAGGCAGCGCTGTCCCAGGAGGCGGCCACGGGAGTCCAGGCAGCTGGCCACGGGCTCACGGAAGCGCCGGTGTCGGGGCTGTGGGCCGTGGCTGAGAGACGTGGGGTTTCTTTGTGGTGAGAGCCCGCTAGAGCCGGCTGGGGGGCGGGGGCGGCTCTGGAGGCACAAAAGCTGCTCGTTGACTGCAGGGGACAGGGCAGAGCTCAGAGCTGGCTAAAAACCCTCGTGCTGACGGCCCTTCGCCGTGGCGGTAGCGCCAGCGTCCATTGTGCGTTCCCGGCTCTGGGGCTGCAGCCCCACTGAGGAGAGCTGGGGATGCGCCCGGCCCGTTACCTGGAGCTCCTGGTACAGCCGCTTCAGCTCCACAGCCGCCGGCCCGGTTAGCTTGCCGCCACCGGCCTGCAGCCCGCCCAGCCTGCCCTTCTTCAGGTCCTCCAGCTGCTGGCTGAGCTGGTCCACCCGCAGGATCGCCGTCTGCACTTCCTGCTGCTTCTCCTGGAACATGGCGCTGAACCGCTCTATTTCAGCAGCTGCGAGCCCCCCAGAGACAAAAGTCACCTCCCTGGTATTCCACAGGCAGGGCGCTCTGTCATTTCTGTTCTGGGACGCACACATTTAGCCCAGCTTTGGCGTCGCCCGCACTGGACCCTGGGCACACAGTGGCACCTTGGCACGCCTCTGATGCCGGTGGCCCAGGCAGGGCCCCTGTGGCAGCCAAGTCCCCATGTGCTCTGTGCGTGGGGCTGCAGTCCACACCCGCTTGCCCAGTTCCTCGGGACCTCAAAGACCACAGGCTCTGGCACAAACCCAGGACGTGAGCGTGCGCACTCTGCGGCCACTTGGCACACAGGCGACACCCAAGCCACCGGGTGAATGTGGTCTTCACAGAGCAAAGGCTTCGTTGGCACAGGGGCGCGAGCGCCTCCCTGCTGGGCTCGCAGGGCGGGGAGCCGCAGCGCCTGGACCCTAGCGGCCCAGCAGACAGCAGGGTGAAGCCACATGCGGCCACAGCAAGGCCACGCCAGCATGTGACCGGCACGCCAAGGCCGGGCCCCCACTGGCCTGGAGTGGGACCACACACTCAGGGGGCACATACACACTCGGCATTGGGGGCATGCACTCGGGGCACACACGGGGGGACATGCCCAGGGTACACACTGGGAGAGCATGCACTAGGGGCACACCCAGGACATACACGAGGGGCACGTGCTAGGGGCACACACTGGGGGGCACACACGAGGAGTACACACTGGGGGGGCACGCACTGGGGGGGCAAGCACTAGGGGCACGCACACAGGCTGCCGTTGACGAGCTTGCTGTAGTCCACCTGCCCCCTCATGGCGCGGATCTTCTTCAGCTTGCTCTCCTGGGCCTCCACGCGCTCTTTCAGTTTCTGGAGCTTCTCATTCTCCGAGAGAGCCTGCTGCTGGCGGCGCTCCTGCTGCTTCAGGAAGTGCAGGCGCTGCTCCTGGGAGGGGAGGGCGAGGGGGCTGTGGCACGGCAGGGAGCGCCCGGGCAGCCCGGGGCCTGGGCGTGCAGACCACAGGCCACGGCTGAGGCATGGGGGGCCCGGGGCAGGCTTCCTGGCACCGCCAACCCCCTCCCTCCCCGTCCAGGGCCCGGAGGCAGGCTCTTCCCGAAGTGGGCACCGCCCCTGTCCTGGGGTGTCCTGGGTGCACATCAGGGGTCAGCGGTTCTTGCTCTGATCCCTGCCTGACGTCGGGAGGCTTCAGCGTGCGTTCCCCTCATGGAGGCAGCGCGAGGCTCCCCGCGGCAGGTCCAGCTGCGGGCATTACCCGTGGGCGCCCAGTCTACACTGTGGGTGAAGGACCCCCTTCCCTGAAAGCCCCCACCCGCCTTCGTGACGCACCTTGGCAACCAGCATTTGCTGCTGATTCTCGATTTGCTGCTGCTGCCGTGCTGCCATGTCCTGAAGCTCGGAGAGGGTGAGCTCGACCCGCGGGTTCCCGACCTGCAGAGGGCGAAACACCACCAGGGCGCGTTACCTGCAGCGGCTTCTCTGGCTGCAGAAAGGGTGTGAGGCAGGCGGAAGCCAGAGGATGCGGATCCGTTGGCTTCTCATGAGGCTTCCGCTTGTTGACGGCTTCTCCGCGACATGAACGCGCGTGTTCTGAACACACAAACACACGTGCTCGATTAAATCGTGGCCGGCTGAGGCAACGCCCTGCAGGCGCGCACCGAAGCGGCCACAGCTCTCTTTGGGTTGAGGCGTCAAATGTTCAAGCCTAAAAATTAAATGCGCGAGTGACACCGAGGTTCAGATGGCCCCGTACGGCGCTGGCCTCAGAAGTCCAAACACCACCAGGCTCTAAGGCACAGACGGCCGTCACGGCCCCACGGAGCCACGCGGGCGGGCCACACAGAACGGAAGCCCGGAGGGCGGCTGACGCAGCCGGAAGCTAGTCCCCCCTGCACCCGCGCATCGGGACCCCACGCCCGGCCCTGGGCCAGGCTGGCCCGTGACTCGCCCCGAGGGCCCAGCAGGCGGGCTGGGTAGGACCAGAGCCCCGCTCGCGCCACGGGGGTGGGGGGCCCTCGCGCCTGCCTGCCCGGGCCCCTGCCGGCCTCTGCTGCCTGCGGTGCTCGTTCCTGTCTTGTCTGTGCCGACTTCCGCCACCTCGGGCTGCCCAGCTCTGCGGAGTGGCTGCGCCTGCTGCCCCGCCCCCTGGGGCACGGGCTGAGTGCTGCTGCGTGGCAGGGCTTCTGCCCCCGGGCTTGTGGGATGCTCTTCTGTCTCTTCACTTCGGGTTTTACAGGTTGTAATGGGGCGTTTCCTTTTTAACAACTTGGCTTTATTCCCCTCCCCGGCCCCCACCACCTGGGTGTGCTGGCTTTCTTACCCCGGGCCTTGAGGCGTAAGCTATTTCACAGCCCCTGCCTTTTGTTTGTTTTAAACATTTATTTAATGGACATTGAGAACTGGGGTGCAGGCCAGAGGTGGGGGGGTGAGGGGACTCACCAGAGACAGAGTGGGGAGCAGAACAGGCAGATCCACTGAAACCCACCACTGCGGGGGCACCGGGGAGACAGGAGAGGTCTGCTGCACCGCAGGGTCACCCTGGTGAGCATCCAGAGCCCCAGCAGCCTGCTGTGCTGTGGCCGCCTGACTGGGGGAGGGGCACACCTCTCCTCTAGGTGCCCCCCGGCAGGCGAGCATTGAAACAGTGCAGGGTGAGGACGGGAGACCAGACCGGCCATCGGTGGGGGTTCTCTGCTTCTCACGCGCCAGAGCCTGGCCTTGGGGCGCCAGCTGCCCTGTCAGCATCGGGTCAGGGGCTGCCAGGTTCTGGCCCGGGTTGGGGAGGCAGGTGCTCTGACCATCGCAGCCTCGGGCTGCAAACAGCAGCCTGGCCTTGGGTGATGAGGCCCAGCGGGTCATCGGTCATCGTCACCCCTCCTCCTCAGCTTCTCCAGGGCGCTCTCCCTCCCCCGGCCATGCGCCAGCCACAGCAGCCGAGGCCCGTGCAGAGCTGTGCCACCCCGCCCACTCACGCGCCGCCGGTGGCTGCAGACACAGCTCTGGGGCTCCCCGCATGTCTGTGGCGCAGCTGCCTGTGCTGCCTTCGGGGGCCCTGGCATGTCTGGGAGGTGGCAACGCGGGTGGGGGGGGTATGTGGCTGTGGGCAGGGGCTCGGAGGACTCCCCGCCCTCCCAGATTTCTGTCCTCTGACGCCAGCCCCCCGATGGCCGGCTCACAGCACCCCCTGGACTCGAAATGGAGCCGGGGTTGGTTCTGGAGCCTACGTGCTCGCCTGGTCCCCAGGAACAGGAAGTCCCCTCTCAAAAGCAACAGACGCTGACGTTCGTAAAAGCCTGTGTCGCCCACTCAGATGTGCCTGGAACTGTCTTTCGCGCTGACAGACTGACTCCTCCTCCGACCTCAAAAGGGCTCGGAAACCTCCAGAACGTTTACTACGTAAACATGTTTGATAAAAAGGCTACGTTCAGTAACAAGTCTTTCGATTTACTTTAATTCCATAGTTTTATAACTTTTTTTTTAAATAGAGGCATGTTTTATTTGTTTTTATTTGTTTGTTTGTTTGTTTGTTTATACATGCACTGGGTACAGTCAGAAGCGCGGGAGGGTGAGAGAACTCACCAGAGCCAGAGCGGGGAGCAGAGCAGGCAGAAGGACTGAAGTACACTGCTGAGGGGAGCAGCGGGCGGCAGGAGAGGTCTGCGCGCCATGTGGGACCCTCCTCTGGTGGCCGGGGAGCAGCCGGGGATCGAACCGGTGCTGCAGAGGCTGCGGGCAGCTTCGCAACCCAGCGCTCAACCGCTGCTCCACCGGGGAAGCCCCATAGTTTTATAACTTAAAGGGGAAAAAGGCAAAGCTCTTCCTGGCTTCCCCTTCACGCCTCCGGCCCAGAGTAAGGCCAGGGTGGTCAGAGGGCGCGGGCAGCGTCCGCGCCCTGACAGCGACACGGATGGGCCAACACGTGCTGTTGCCAAGTTTAAATTTTAATTTCCCTCTTTTTAAATAAAAAGCCTCTGGGCAAAGATTCCCTATAAATGGCATTTTGGTAAGTAATGAAGAAAAAGCAAGCATAAAAATGTCCATGATTAGACTGTCAACCCCAAACGTACAGCGATCAGATTTTTAATAACGACACTGGCCGCAGCTTCCCAGTTAGAGGTGGACAGGGCCTGCCCCGGCTGATGTCCGTTTCTATTAACTGTGGACACGAGCCATCAAGGCGCAGCAGCTGACACAGAGGCCGGCAGCGCTGGACTCTGGAGACCCTGCGGAAGCGACTCCTGACGGCGGTGGCTGGGGCCGCGGCTTTAACCAACCGTGTTTTTTGGTGTCCTCAGAAGGTTTTAAATCAAATTTCAAAACTGGTGTGGCAAAAATTCAGGTGTGAAAATACAGCAAACCTCTCAGAACCACGCACTGTCGACAGCTGGGCACATGGGGCCACCGTCCACTCAGCCTGGCAGCTGGCACCGGCCGCAGTGGGCACGGCCGGGGGCAGCAGCAGGCTCAGGTACACGAATCAACAGCCACCAGCGGACTCCAGCAGCTGCTCCTCGAGAACAGGCTGGGCCATCTCTGAGCTGTGCCCCGCGCGGGCACTGGGTGCAGGCCAGCCTGGGGTGCTGCCCCACACCCCACCAGGGACCCCTGCTTGGAAGTAATTTGCTGTTCAGTCTCGGTCGAGGAGCTGTCTTGTCCTAGCACCGTGACATTCAGTTTGAAAATAATCTCCCAAAAGCTGCAGAATGCCCCAGAACGGCCTGCCCCCTTGCTCCCGCCAGCACCTGGCCACCCGCCCGCCCTCGGTTGCGTGTCACGGCGGTGCAGCCTGCACTCGGCGGCCGGGACAACGACACACGCCCGCCACGCTCCAGCTCTGCGGGCCGAGGTCTCGGAGCAGAGCAGCTTGGCTGGGCGGGTCTCGCCTGGGAGTTCCCACGGCGGGTCGGGCAGCCCGATGGCGGTGGGCATCTGGCCCCAGGCGGCTCGCGCACGGCCACCGAGTTGGTGCTGGCAGTGGTGGGAGGCTCCGGCCCGCCGAGAGGCCTCTGCTCCCAGCTGTCCAGCTGAGAGGCCCCCCATGGGGTTGGGTCGCCTAGCAAGCAACCCCAGAGGACGGCGCCAGGGAGGGACAACCTCCTCCCGCCAGCCTCAGCACCCCACGGCACCCCCCCGCCACTCCGCCCTAGAAGCGAGGGCTGAGCCTGAGGCGGGAGCTGGCTGCGCCTTCAAGGGACGCACACCCAGGCCCCACCGCTCACAGTCACCCCACGGAGACCCCTCCACTGTCATCCGCGGCTCCCCGGAGCTCAGCCGTCGTTCCCAGAGGCAGTCATGGCCCATGGAGGGGCCACACATGTGCCGAGCGCCGGCCTCGGCTCTGATCCACGGGCGGCCTCCCCAAGGCGCTGCCCACTCCTCGGGAGCCCGCGGGAGGAGGACTGGGCTTTGCCGGTAACTGCACACCTGGCTGAGGGGCCGTGGGGCTGGTTGTAGAAGACGAGGCCACCACAGGGTCACCAGGGTCTCCCCGGGGTCCGGGCCAGCCCGCTGATCGCAGGGCTGTGCAGCGCGTCCTGCCCGCGCCTTTTGCGGAGCAAGCCCGGCCCGCAGGGGCCTGGCCCCCACCCTGGCTCTCCGGGAGCGCAAGGGCCACGGGTCAGGAGTCACGGTCACGCCTTTACCTGCAAGCCTGTAGGGAAGTGGAGCGGCTCTTCCCACCTCCCGCCACCAGCCCCTGCGGCTACCGCGTGGCCGTGCTCCCCTGCGCACCTGCGGCTCTGGACGGGCCGTGCTCGGGCGTGCCTGCCTGCCACCGCGGACACCGGCCACGGAGCAAGGGCGGGGAGGGGCTCCTGGGCTCAGGGTTCGTGGTGGCAGCATCACTCTGAGGTTGGGGGCCTCAGCTGCTGCCTCCCTGCCTGTCTGCCTGTGCCCTGGCCCCTGATTCGGCGTTAAGGCGTGACAGAGATCCCAAGGGCCCCCAGATCCTCTTTCTTCTGCCCGAGTTGACAAGGAGCTGCCGGTCTGGCTGCTGCGCGGCACCCGCCAACCGACCTGTCTCCCGCTCCCCTGCAAGCGTCTAGCACCTTCTTCCCAGAAATTCAGCTGCCTTTGACTCCAGCCACCTCACGCCACGTGAGTGGCTGCCAGGGCTGGTCTCAAGTCTGCGGCCGCGGGTCCCAGCCAGAGCCAGCACCTTCCCGCCCGCCCCGCCTTCCCAATGCTCCCTCCCTCAGGACGGCAAAGGCATCTCTTCTGCTGCTTCCTGCCCTCTGAGGAACCCCTCATACCATTGTTCTGCCACTCAGGATGCTGAGTCACTTCCGGAGACGGGTGAGCTCCATGTTTTTGAAGAATTCTTAGTCCCATGCGTGTGGGGTGCAGCTCCACCCTTGCCCCTCGGGCTGTGTTCACGGAGCCCAGCAGCTCAGAGGCCCGAGAGGAGCCTTCTCCACAGGGAGGCCTTGAGCCTCGGCAGCCTCAGCCCGGCTCTGGTGGGCCTGCATGGTGGGCCCAGGGCAGCGCCAGGTCCTGACCCGGGTCCTGACCACAGCTGGATGGGCCAAGGCCCCAGGCGGCCCGCAAGGCGGCCTGCTGTCCTACCGCTCCCTGCTTACTGACGTGGTGTTAGTTTGAGTGGTGAAAATGCTGCTTTTGTAGATTAGAAATGGTCAAAGCAAATACCTCATGTGGGCCAGCGTCAGAGCATAGGATGGAGGCCCCACCTGGAGGCCCTGCCTGAGGACAGTGTCCTCTGAGCAGCGGCGTCGGGCAGGAACGCGGGGCCGGCTGGCTGCTCATGACGGCTAAGAAGTGACAGTGACGCTGAAGTGACAGTGACACCTCCCTCCGGGAGGGAGGCGGGCCTCGGAGGACACCAGCGTGGCCGTTCCCCTCACCTCAGGCAGGCCCACCTCTCCCGTCCCAGGGCGGCTTACGCGGGAGACCCGTGTGACCTCTGCACGGGGATGAATTGATTTTAACACCTCAGGTGTGAGTGCTTTCCTTGTGAGATTGTGTTCAAAGGTGGTTTTCTTGGGTAACATCTTTGTTCACATAAAAATAAACATTTCTTTTCAGATTTCTTTAGCGCAAGCTCCTCCGTTAGCCACCAGCAGCTTGTGTGTGCTGCTGTCTCGGGAAGCGCCGTCTCCGGGACTGTGGTTCACAGTGACTGGACGCCTCTGGAGCTCATATCTTCATAATCTTGGAAGTTTTACTTTCAAGTCTCTTCTTTGAAAGTGACCCTTAGACCCAGTGGCTGCGGCTCTCCCGGGAAGCGCAGAGTGAGGCTGGTAGCCACCTCCCCCCAGAGGGGCTCCTGAGCCACAGCTGAGCTGCCTCCGGCCAAGACTCTGAGAGGAGCTGGCTGTGCGCACAAGAGGCCCGCGCCCCCGCCCCCGCCTGTCCCCGCTGTCCCCACATGCCTGGCTCCCCTGCTCAGCCCTCTGCACAAGCCCCCGCCCTCCTCACAGACCTGCCCAAGGGACATAGCTGGCCCTCAAGCCCGCCGTGCCCGCCCGACCCTTGCACTGTCACCTGCACATCGGCCTCCACAGCACCCGCCCTTCCCCATGAATCTGTGGGAGCTGCCCCCTCCCCGGGCACCCCGATGTGCACCGCCACTCGGGCAATACCCAGAACCCAGCCTCTGGACGTGTGGACGTGGGCATGCACCTCGGCCGTAGCAGGTGCCTCTGGACGGCCGCCTCTGGAGCGCAACCTGTGGGGTTTCATGGCCAGCGAGGAGCTCCTGCACGTGCTGCTGGACAGAGTGGCCTCGGCTGCCCTTCTCCCGGACCAAGTGCGGTGGGACCCAGCGTGCGCAAGGTCATCCCCCCGCGTGGCGAGGCCCGGCTACTGCCCCCACGGCCTTCGCGCCGCCCGCCCCTCCAGCCTGATGCGGCGGCGGGTGCCTGTGGCGGTGGACATCTCTGCCCGGGAAGCCTCCGGCTGCGGTCACCCCTCCTGCGTGGCTTCAGGACAGACCAGAGAGGACAAGCAGCACAAACAGCCCAGGGCCCCTCCTGTGGTTTAGTCATCACAAGAGATTTCCTAAAACCATGGCCCCTTTTGAAAGTATAACTGGATCGTCAAGTATGTTGTGACCCCACAAACCAGAAAAATCCCTAAACAAAACACTGACAGAGGATCTGTGCAAAACGTGGGCAGCGCCTTGATACCCCTGGACTGTTGCAGGAGCCCCCGACCTGCCGGCGGCCCTGACAGCGGGGCGGGGCAGCGAGGCGGCTCTCCTGGCTGAGTGCCCAGCCCTGTCACAGGCCTCCCCACGAGAAGCCCTCCCCACCCTGTGTGTGGCCGAGGCCATGGGGGGACGCCCCCAGAGCCACTGTCCTGTTAAGAGCTGCGACGTGGGGAGGCACGCAAAGGCGGCCGCACGGCATCTGCGGGGGCCCCCGCCCGCGGCCCTGCCCCTCTTCTCTCCCGTCACAGACGCACACGTTTTCATTTTGGTTTCAAGTTCCCGTTGTGCTGCTCCTGAAGCCCAAACGTCCCCTCCATGCTAGCCAGAATCAACCTCATCAGAAAAGACCCCAGAGCAGCTCTGCCAACGCTGCCCGGTGCCAGGAGCCCTTCCGCCGGGCCTGCCCTGCGTCCCGCAGGCGCACGGCCCCCAACAAGCCACCGTCTCCCGGGCAGGCTCCAAGGGGTCTGAAAAGATTCCTTGAGCCCCTAGAGAGGCAGTGCGTCTGAGCATTCACTGCCCCGGCCTTCCTGAGACCACGCCTGGCGGAATTCCAGAGGTGCCAGGATGCTCCCTGCAGACCAGCCTCCTGGCACAAAGGGTCTGTGGAGACGCAGCTCCAGGAAGTGCAGGGCAAAGGCAGAGAACCCAAACCTTGACACAGGAGTGTCTCGATCCAGCCTGGCCCCGGGCGCCAAGAAACTAGCCCCCCCCCCCCCCGCCCCATCTCCACTAACAAGCACTGGGTAGTTTTCAACTCGGCCCTCGATCTTTATAGGCCGAGTGTAAGAGGCTTATCAGGTAATGGGACACGCAACACCGTGGCCCTGACACCGCGGGGCCTGCCCCCGAGCCGGCTGGACACGGCAGCGGGGAGGGCCTGGGATGCCGCAGGCGTGCAGCCCTGGGCGAGGGGGCACAGCAGTGAGTCACCGCCTCTTTATGGCCGCACAAAAACCTTTGAGATAAGAAACATCAATTTCTTCCCCAAATACTTCTCTACAAATCAGAATCCAAACTCATGATTATGACCTATGAAAAGCAATTTTAAAAGTTAAAAAGAAGTCCCCCTCACGCTCACTCACCCCATTCTCAGCGCGCTGCTCCCCGGGCACGTTGGCCACGCCCCGCTGGGGCCTCTGCTCCTGGGTCTGGCGGCCACCTGGAGAGCGAGAGGGTGGCTGGTCAGGGCGGTGGCCCCGCGCAGCGAGAGGTGAGCCTCACTGCTGTCTCCAGACGGAGGCTTTTGTAAATGAAAATTTTTCTCATTTTTTCAGAATCCTGGAATTGATTTCTAGGAAAGGTTTCCAGCAAAGTTAGTCAAAATGTCAGTTTCATGCGATGAGCATTTAACCAGTTTTTATTATTAAAATTTCTAAATTTTGGAAGAGAGTTAAATCAATCCCGACACCCAGTCTGAGAGACAGAGGGGACACCGCCCGGGGTGGAGCGGGGCGGGCCAACCTCGCGGCCCAGGCCACGGTCAGACGCACTGGCCGCCGCCACAGGGGCCGAGGAAGCGAGCGTGTCCGGCTCTGCCCCGGCTTCGGGTCGCTGCGCCTGACGGCCACGTCACCATGGGGCACTACTGCGGAGGCCGTCAGCCTAACGCTAAAAAACTGAAGGACATTTTCTTCTTTCTGTTTCATTTCCACTGGAAATTTCTGAAGCTGGAGTCACGGAAGGGGCTGCACCTGACCCTGGTGTTCCCGGGGCGCCACCACCCGCCGAGGGAACTGGCTCCGGAGGGCGGCAGCATCTCACTAAGTGCAGAGCGGAGACGGTGGCACAAGAGGCCGGTGCGTGGGGGACGGGCCCTGTGCAGCCCATTTGGCCACTCCAGTCAGCAGAAGCTACGGCTGGGTGTGACACCCGTCAGGGTGAGTCGTGGCTACTCTGGGGCTTCTAAGCAAACAGGCGCTTAGGTCAAGGCGTTGCTTGTGCCTGTGGCCCCTTTCAAGCAAGCGCCCCCGGGGAGGCAGAGGGGGCAGCACTAGAAGTGTCCGAAGCCGCGTGATGAGCATGGTTCTCCCTCCCGGGCCCACCTCCCTGCAGCTGCTGGAGAGGGCTCGGCCCACGCCCATGCCTGTGGCCCATCCTAGATGGCAGCGCCCGGCTCCACTCAGCCCCTAGGGTGCCTTCCCTGGGTCTCAGCTCCGCACGGCCAACACCCCCACACCAGCTGTGCTGTGACAGCTGCCGCACCACTGGACTGTGCGGCGCTGGGGGCAGTGACCACCCACAGGAGCATCAGCGCTGTCCCTCCTGTGCCGCTGGGCCTTCTCTTACACGTCCCCACATGCCAAACCTCCCGAGGCGGGAATAAAATAAACCCTTCCACACGGCGCGGGGCACGTGGGCAGCACACACGACTGTGGGCAAGAGCCAGTGGAGCTGCCCCTCAAGCGGGCAAGCGGGAGGCGCTCAAGAGTGTGGGCCAGCGTTGGTCTTGGCCCTGGGCAGGGCAGCACCCAGCTGCCCAGGTGGCACAGCAGCTGCAGAGCTGGGCTGGGACGCCCCGTGCTGAGCCAGCCGCCATGCCCGGGAGCGGGAAGGCCTGGGTGACCATGTGCTGGAAGCAGAGCCCCCGTCCCGGGCAGCCGCCCCTGACATAAAATACAAACATAGGAGGTAACGTACAATCAAGAGATCCTTTGTTTTCACACGAGCGTGTCTTTTCATTGTTTATGTTGTTTAACACCGGAAGTAATCCACGACCGTATTAAACAGTAAGGGTCTCTTAACTGCACGATGCATATACTTTAAACAAAGATTCCTTTATTTTGCTTAAATTTCAGTTCGAGACAGCAAGCTCCGTGGATCAAAGGGGACACGAGGCAGCCCACAGCGCCCCCGTCCTCGTCCCCCGTGAGCACGCCAGTCTAGGCGTGCTCCTAAGACTCGCCACACCGCGCCCAGGCCCGGGCTGCTGCCTGCGGCACCACAGTGGCCTGGAACGCTCGTGGGCACTGCTGGTGACCCGCAGCTCCGAGGACCGGCCAGGCCAGGGCCGGAGGACCTCAGCACACGGCCACGTGTCCCTGGCGGACACGCCCCATCTCCTGTAGACTGACGCCCATGGGGGGAGCAGGCGGCCTCTCCCAGGATACACCAAGCACGCGCCTGTGCCATTTTGGATGTGTGCAGACGCGGCTTCCTGGCAACTCTCAGGGACATGGCAGCTGGAGACCTGTGCTCTGGTAGTGGGCACACACCCACCGCGCCCTCGCCTCTGGCCCCGGGCTGTGAGGGGGCCTCACTGTGAGTCCCTGCGTTCATCTGGGGAGACTGAGAGCCTTCTCGTGCATCCTAGGCCAGGTGTGTTTCCCTTCTGTAGACTGTGTGTTTATGTACTTTGTGCTTTTTTTAAAAAAGATTTATTGAGTAGAAGAGTTGGGGTGCAGACCAGATGTACGGGGGTGAGAGGACTCACCAGAGACAGAGTGGGGAGCAGAACAGGTGGATCCACTGAAATCCACTGCTTAGGGGAGCAGTGGGGAGACAGGAGAGGTCTGCTGCGCCCTGTGGGTTAGCTCCAGCCAGGGATCACACTCAGGCCTTGGAGGGGATAGTGCTGAGATTTAACCCCTGCACCACCAGGGAGGCCCTACTTCGTCCATTTTTTACTGTTTTCTTCTTATTGATTTTTTTTTAAAAGATTTTATTATTTATTCATACAAGCACTGGGTACAGTCAGAAGCGCGGGAGGGTGAGAGGATTCACCAGAGCCAGAGCGGGGAGCAGAGCAGGCAGAAGGACCGAAGTACACTGCTGAGGGGAGCAGCGGGCGGCAGGAGAGGTCTGCGCGCCATGCAGGACCCTCCTCTGGTGGCCGGGGATCAAACCGGTACTGCAGAGCCTGCGGGCAGCTTCACAACCCAGCACTCAACCACTGTGCCACCGGGGAGGCCCTGAAGCTCTGTTCTCTTTTTTTTTTTTTTTCTAGTTTTTTATTTATTTTTTTTTTATAGAGGCATGTTTTATTTATTTATTTGTTTGTTTGTTTTGTTTATACAAGCACCGGGTACAGTCAGAAGCGCGGGAGGGTGAGAGAATTCACCAGAGCCAGAGCGGGGGCCAGAGCAGGCAGAAGGACCGAAGCACACTGCTGAGGGGAGCAGCGGGCGGCAGGAGAGGTCTGCGGGCCATGCAGGACCCTCACTGGTGGCCGGGGATTGAACCGGTGCTGCAGAGGCTGCGGGCAGCTTTGCAACCCAGTGCGCAACCACTGCGCCACCAGGGAGGACCCCCTTAATGATTTTTAAAGGATTCTTTATATGTAAGGAGACCGGATCATGGGCTATAAAAGCTAACGCCCCTCAATGGCTCGTCTTCCACATTTGCTTGGGGTGGTCACTATCATGCACTTTTAAACAATAATCCTGCTTCCCAATCTTTTCTTTCACAGCTTAATGATACAGGAGAAAGGTCTTGTTCACCCTAAACAACCGTTTTTCAATCTCTCAGAATCTTTCTAGTCCTTTCATGATCTTTTATCCCCGAGACCTAGAGATTCAATCCAACTGGGTCTTATCAAACAGCAAGGCCCGCACGTGCCAGAGGCAGCCCCTGGAGAGTGCAGGGTCCCGAGAAGCAGCCAGACGGGCGCGGCCGCGGGGCAGCACACCGGGGCTCGAGGAAGCAGAGCCACCGCTTGGGCCCCACAGTCACCCTCCTCTTATTACATGGACTTCCGTGGCCAAATGTACGGCGGAGGCGTCCCCTACCTGGGTCACTGCTCTCGGCGGGGCAGTCCTCGTGCCGGAGAAAGAACTTCACCTCCTCACGTCGCGGGCCCCACTTCTGCAGATGGTCGTACATCATGTGCTCGAAGGGGATGGGCCGCTCTGGAAGAGAGTCCACGCTTTACTTACCCAGAAGCACAGCGGCCCCCACGGCACAGAGCAACGGCACAGCAGCCATGCCACAGCCTAGGCCCGGGCCCCCCGCCCGAGAATGGAAAAGCAGGAGTGCGGCGGGATGCGACCACAGCCACGCACAAAAGCAACATGTACACGGTACGCGAGGCGGCGGCGTGACACTGAATAAGAACATTTAAAAAGCCTTTAAGGCTGCCATGAAACCGTGGGCCCCCCACGCTGGGCGCCCTGGGCCAGCTGGCCCCGCACCTCCCGGCTGGCAGGCACGGCTTGGCCGTCCGGGGAGCACTGCTGGACACGCCACACGCCCATGGAAGGAACCATGTGACAAGAACAGTCGAGCCTGCGGGACTGAGCGCACCCACGCACGCCTAACAACTGCTCGTGAGAGGCAGGTGGCGCGCAGACGCCCGGCCCAGCTCCCCGGATAAGATCCGGCCCGGGGCTAGATTGAAGCCGCCTGCCCACGCCGGGCCTGCCGTGACCCTTTCGGTCTTCCCTCCCGCGGGAACGCCGCATGTGTGAGGCCCCTGAAGCTCCTGGGCTCACAGGCCTTTCCTTCAGTGTCTGAAGGGGCTGCTCATAGGTAAGACAGTAATCTGGGGCTGGACACGCACATTGAAAGTGAACTTTCCTTCTGTTGGTGTCTCCTGTAGTATGAAAGTTTTAAAAATTCAGGGTGTGGTGAGACACGGCTGCTGTGGCTGGAAACGGTCCGGGCCCACAGCCCAGCTATAACCGCTGCTCCCACCTCCAAGGTCAGCACTGAAACGCAGGCGCAGACCTGTCCTCCCTCTGCCCGTGCGGGGCCTGCGCGGAGGGATGGGCTCTTGTATTCGTCCTACAGCTTCTCAAGGGCCGCTTCCATGGTCTTCATGTGTCAACCTGCCCTCTCCTGGGCACTCATGGCGGCCGCTCAGGCACGGATGGGGTCTGCAGGCCCCAGGAGGCCAGAGCTGTCCCATGCCATGGCCCTGCGTCCACGCCAGGCTAGCTGGCCCCGTTTCAGCACCAAGGGTCGCAGCACGAAGCTCTCTGGGCCCCGCCGGTGCGCAGGTGAACTGCAGGCCTCAGGCCTCTGGGTGTACAGACCCCCCTAGGCGCAGCTGGTCAGGGTCTTCCTTTAAGGTGGGCTTTGGGCCCACGACCGCCCATGTAAATCCGGGGTCCTGGCCTGGTGGGAGCCGCGCTAGTGTCTGCCGTTCGCCCGTGGCGCAAGCCGTGTGCAGCCTAATCCCTTCCCTGCACCTTCTAGAGCGTTTTATTTACATTTGCGTAAAGTCTACTTAAGAGGGGATTTTTGTCCTGGGATAATGTGAGGCTCTGAGAACAAGGCTGCTGAGAGCGCTAAGTGCCCATCCGTGCCAGGCCCAGCGCCCGTGCCGCCTCTCCCTGACCATGGTGCGGGCTCCATAGAGCGCGCAGGCCAGACGCCAGGCCTTATCTGGACTGACCCGCTTGTCCACTGGTGTCCTGCATCTGCTCCGGAACAGATCAGAAACCTGCACCGCCCCTCCTCATCACAGGCCCCAGGTCTTCCCGGTTTGTGACAGCTCGGCGCTTCTTTATGACTGTGGCAGTTTTGGGGCACCTGGTTGGGTGTTTTGTCCACTGCCCCTAAATGTGGACCCGCTTCCCGTGGCTGGACTGAGGCAGTGGTTTAGGGAGAGCCCCGCACAGATGTGCCCCCCGACCCCTGTCAGTGAGCCAGGCCACCATCTGTCTGGCCTGCTCTGGGGGTGCCTGTTGCACCCCTTTACTATTCTGTCAGATCGCTCAGCCCAGGGGAGGAGGGGATGGTAAGCCCCCTCCTGGAGGGGGTCCCCACAGCACTCTGGCTTTCCCCGTTAAGGGCGACCTGCACCTCCTCCCCACCTACTGACCTGTCACATGCGCGGGCAGACAGGTCCACACCGTGTCCACCTGGCGGTGACTCATGCTCGGGTTGTCCTGGCACTGGACACTGCAGCTTTCCGGCCATCCCCTGCATCCCCTTGCCACGCCATGGTCTGTGTCTTCCGAGTATCCTCTAACCTTCTAGCCAAGGGACTCCAGGCACCTCTTGGTCATCCATGACCAATGTCCTTTAGAAGAGGACTTCCCCACTGACGCAGAGCCCCGGGCAGAGTGCGGCCCGTGTGGGCTCATGAGTGGCCAGCCACTGCGGATCCGGGCAGGTCATTGGCACGATTTTGTGCAAGAAAATAATGCAACAAACACAGGCAGCTCCGATTCTTCCTTTCAAGTACTCTCAGATCTCTTCTCCTTTCTCTGTCCGGCCACTCACTCAGGCCCCCCGCGCAGCGCTGGGCCCGCCCTCCTTCTGGCCCTGATGGCCGCACCTGAGTTTCAGGACCCCGCGTGAGCTGGGGTGGTGGGGGGTGAGTGGGTCTGGCTCTACCGCAGGCCGGGCATCTCCCTGCTGTCTCCGTGCGTTGACAGCCAGTGCCAGGGACGCCCACTGTGGACTCTACTGAGGGTGCCACGCTCTTCCCTTTGACAACGTGGCCTCTCAGCCGAGCTGACCCAGAGCCCGGAGCTTCTTGACCTAGGCGCCAACCGTGCTTGGTCGTGATTGTAATATGCTGGCGACATGCTGAGGGTTTCTGATTCTACGTTCCAAGAGAGGTTGCCTATGCTTTCAACATCTTATTCGGCATGGGTATAAAGGTCTCCGGTCTCATAAACAAATTGAGTGGCCATCTCTCTTTTTCTATTCGCTCAAAAATGTTATATAAACTAGGGGTATCTGTTCTTTAAAGGTCTGCAGACCTCACACTTGCCTGTAAATCCTTCTGGATTTGGAGGCTTTGGGACAAAAACAAGCACAGATTTCTCTTTTAAAATAAATGTTGGTGGGCCTCCCCGGTGGTGCAGCGGTTGAGCGCTGGGTTGAGAAGCTGCCCGCAGCCTCTGCAGCGCCGGTTCGGTCCCCGGCTGCTCCCCAGCCACCGGAGGAGGGTCCTGCATGGCGCGCAGACCTCTCCTGCCGCCCGCTGCTCCCCTCAGCAGTGTACTTCGGTCCTTCTGCCTGCTCTGCTCCCCGCTCTGGCTCTGGTGAATTCTCTCACCCTCCCGTGCTTCTGACTGTACCCAGTGCTTGTATAAATAAATAAATAAAAATAAAATCTTTAAGATTTAAAATAGAATAAAATAAAATAAAATAAATATTGGTTACTTAAGTTCTTCTTTTGATCATTTGGAGTGCAGGTGACGTCCCTGACCCATGATTTGCTTTTCAAGCATTACCCATGAACACACCAGGTGGCGCGGTCCCATGGCCATGGCTGCTGGGGTGAGAGCTGCACGGGGCGCCTGTCCTCGGCCCCGCGGCCCATGCAGGAGCTCAGTGAATTATTGTTGAGTGAACCTTGGCAATTCCCACTTGACTTTTATCTCAAATTTGAAATTTATCAACAAGTTGTTCGTGCTGTTTCAAAATCTAAAATGTGGCATCTATTTTTCTCAATTTTATCTGTTCCTCTTTTTTCCCTGCTTAAAACCTTCATCGTAACTTGCTTCTCTATTTTATTAGTATTCAAGGAAACAGCTTTGGCATTGTTGAGTTTCTCATTTTTCAAACTTCTACTTTCATCTTTATTTCCTTTAAACTAATTTTGTTCTTTTTGTAGCTCTTTGTGTTCAACCCTTTTACAAGTCACTTTGTCTAATTTTTTTTTTAAAAGATTTATTTATTTATACAAGCACTGGGTACAGTCAGAAGCGCGGGAGGGTGAGAGAATTCACCAGAGCCAGAGCGGGGAATAGAGCAGGCAGAAAGATGAAATATAATGCTGAGGGGAGCAGCGGGCAGCAGGAGAGGTCTGTGGCACCATGTGGGACCCTCGCCGGCAGCCGGGGATCGAACCGGCGCTGCAGAGGCTGCGGGTAGCTTCACAGCCCAGCGCTCAACCGGTGTGCTACTGGGGAGGCCCCACTTTGTCTAATTTTTTAATAAATGGATTTAAGTGATGACTTTACCAAGGATCTATTTTAGCTGCAACACACACACACACACACACACACATGTGCGCACGCACAATTTTTCTGAACGTTTGAAAGTAGGTTGCATACATTGTACCTCTTTACCTCTTAGTAATTCATTATTCTCTAACAGAATTCTCTTAAGTAACCACAGTACTCAGGCTTGTCAATCACCCCAGTGATGTCCGATAAGCCCCACCCCGTCCAGTCCAGGATCATGCCTGGTGTCCATCTGGGACAAGAGGAGGCCAGAGATCTAGAGTTAACACATTTTCGATCCCAACGGCTCCTCCAAGGCTCTGCCCCCATAAAAACACCACACTGTGCTCACATCTGGCAGAAAAGCAAAAACATCAACACAAACCAGGGCCCAGGGCATCCCGGGGGCGCCCACAACGTCAGAGAGGGGCCCACCATGTCCAGAAGCTGCCACCAAAGCAGGCAGGTCTGTCAGCTGGATCCAGACATCCACCCAGGCCAGCGCACCCTCATCGTCTGCAGTACCACCAGATGCTCGGGTTGTCAGCGTGTCTGTGCCTGCCCACACGCCCAGGACACCCTCACGGTCACCCTCCTGTCCTGTCAGCACACATGGAGGCTCATGGGTGAGCCGGGCGTTCCGCCCTCCTCAGGCAGAAGCCCAGGGCGTGCCCTGCTCCTGGAACAGGATCTCCCCCTGGGACTTCATGGGACGCCTGACTCTGGGGGTCACTCGCTCGGGCTTCCAAGTTCTGGAGTGAAGCTCCCAGGCAGGTGGCCCAGTGCTTGCGGAGGCAGAGAGCGCCGAGCAGCCAGCGCCCGGCTGAGCACCGTCCCAGGCAGGCTGTGCACCCCAAGGTGTGGGGATGGCATCAGGCTCTCCTCTAGAACAGCGCCCCCAGTGTCTCCTGCGGAGAGACCGACTCCCACCCCTACCGCGCCCTCCCCTGCAGAGGGAGCTGCCGGAGGACAGAGACAGGGCGGCCCCATGGGTCTGGCTCAGGCTGCCGCGCGCACAGGCAGGGAGCACAGCGCAGCCCCGGCCAGGGAACACGCGCTCGGCGAGAAGCCGGTGAGAGGGGATGCAGGGCGTGTGGGCCCTCTGGGTGGCGTCAGGCAGAGCACCGGCCGGGTGGTAGCCGGAGCTCAGGGACAGCGCCGACGCGGCAGCCCCATGCCTGCCCCACGCTCACCAGGCTGAGGCCCACCCCGGTGGGTTTTATTTCAACTGGAGGGCGGGAGCCTTGCGGGGCCGCCGCCTTCCCTGCGCATCAAAAAGGGCACTGGCCAGTCCTGCGCTGGCAGGACACGACTCCGAGTGCCAGTGCCCAGCACGGGAGGGGGCCGCAGCCCGTCTCTGGCCCTCCGCTTGCAGCTCTGGGACAAGAGGGGGAGCCTGTCGGTCGCTCTCCCACGAGGCCTGGCTGCTGTCGGGGTGGGTGTTAGACTTCTGCAAAGGAGAGACGGGGGAGGCCTCCTCTCACGCAGGAAGGCCAAGGGTGAGGGCTCATGGCGGCGGAGCCTGTGGGGGATGGGGGGGTGCCGCACCGGACTGGGAGCCTGGGGGGCGGGGCAGGGTGCCGCACCTGACCAGGAGCCTGCTGCACCGCGGGCAAGGCCGGAAGGAAGGAGCCTTAGAGACCAACGAGAGGAAACAAAGAGGTAGGGCCCCCCTCCTAAAGAGGGGAGAGAGCCCCCGCGGCGGGGGTGGGGGGCTGAGGGGGAGGGTCCCCCCCAAGGGCAGGTGCCAGCAGCAGAGCAGCAGACTGTGGGGCGGAGCCTGATCCCTAGCCCCGAGGGAACTTGGGCATGTCTCCCCCGCCCCGCACCCCTGCCAGACTCGTAGTTGTGGAGAAAGGCTCCCTGAAGGGCAGCGAGTTCAGGTGAGGTGCTGGGGCCTGGCTCGCGTGGCTGGTGTCCTGCCGAGAGAGGCCAGGGCCAGCTCAGCCTGTGAGACTCGGCCTGACGCCGGGTCTCAAGCCTCTGGCCTTCAGCATCGTGAAAACGGGGTCTGTCGGCCGTTGAGCTTGGTGTGAGCAGCCGTGATGGCGCCATAGCAGACAGGCAACCCGTCCGGAAAGGCCTTCTGACTGCTCTTCCCCAAACCCGACCCGCCAGCCACCCGGCCCAGGCCTGACGCCCAGGGCAGGCCTCTCCAGGACAACAAGACTGGGAAAGGCTCTTGCCCTCCCGCCCCTCCTTTCCATCCTGGCCCTAGGAGCCCGCAGGGCCAGCGGCGCCCCCCGCCCTCAGCAGCTGGGGTTTCCTGAGGGCCTGCTCGGAGCAGCAGCTGGTGCTGGGGGAAGAGGGAGCCAGACGGCCGGTTCTGGCCTGGGGAATGGCCGCCTGAGAGAGGAAGGCTGTGCTCTGCGAGCCGGGCCCGCGAAGTGGGCGCACGGGGCGGGTATCCTTGGAGTGCCGGGGTCAAGGGGTGTGCGGCAGGAATGGCCACGGTCCAGCGGGCCGGGGCTGGGCACGCGGGCTGTTTCGGGAGGTGTGATCCCGCATGCTGGGCCCACGTGCGCGTTCAGCAGCCGCAGAGAGGCCCCCGCCAGCCGAGTGACCAGGGGCCCCGGGCCTGGATACTTTTGCAAACGCTTTATTCCCTGCCAGGCTGGGTGAGAAGAGACGGGGAGAGGCAGGTGAGGAATAAGAAGCGCCAACAGGCTGAGGAGGAGCAGAGAGGGCATGACCACAGGCTGGTGACGGAGGACCCGCCCGCAGGCCTGCGCTGCTCATAGGCCAACATGCGTCGGAGTCAACTTTCTCCCCAGACGCCCAGTCTCGACTCTGCGTTCTAAGCGCAGCACTAAATGCGCGGGACTTAGGAAGGCCGAGGCACACGCCCGGCAGGACCTGTGTCCACAGCACACAGCGACTTCACAGCTTAGTGCCAAGAAGACAGTTAACAGCCTGGAGCCCTTGCTGGGCACGCCCTATCCCACCCAGGTGCAGCCCCTTTACGTCCAACCCATTGTAGAGTTTCCTGTATTTGGTCATCACGTTACCCACCCGGACCTTCTCTGCCCACCCGCTGACTGGGAAGGACACAGTGCGACAGCCATCCACAAAGGGTCTACCACGATGGCCTTGCACACACGGGACACAGCTCCTCTGCCCTCATGATGTCACTGCAGGGGACGGGAAGCAGATGTGCAGCTGACACACTAGACACCGCAAGGCCTCGGGACAGAGCCCCTCGTGTGGCAACAGTGACAGCAAGGCCTGGTAGACAATGGGGCCGGCAGCCCTGCATGTCGCTGCAGTCACAGTGAGAATCAACTCACGCTTGATTCACCAACCACTCCCCCCACGTAATCAGAGTTTCAATTACTCAACCCCTTGTTCCCACAGGTAGCCCAGGGGCAACAGAGTGCACGGGATAAACTTAAGTTCTGCGCATCGGCAGCGCTGGCGGCAGACACGTACCATTTCCCCGCCACACTTCGGCCAAGTGGCAGCCGCCTTCTCCCGGCTCCTTGCAGAACTCTACCACGTCCCGACACGTCGTTTCCGGTGTTATAGGGACTTCGGTTAAAATCTGTTCGTTGTTGCTCAAGAACACGGTTAATATCATCTGCAAGAGGAGAGATGAAAGCGACACTGAGCACCACAATCACAGATCAGTCTGGAAGGGAAAGAGACCCCCCACACCAGCCAAAACACCTGGGGTGGGCATTTTGGAACAGACGAGCTGGCTCTAGAGCTCCTGTGAAAACGTAAGGTGAGTCAGGAAAATTCCAGAAGAGAACAGTCTTAGGAGGGGACCAGAGCTACAGGTGTCAAAAGCCAAAATGCAGCACGGCACACGCAGGCGTGGCACACACACGGCACACGTGGATACGGCACACATGGCTGGGCACACGCAGTGCACATGGCTGCACACACACAGCACATGAGGGCATGGTGCACGTGGTGCACACGGCACACACGGCTGGGCACACACGGCACACGTGACCACGCACATGTGGTGCACACGTCACACAGGGCCGTGCGCACACGGCCACGCTTGGCACATGTCATGGCGTCCACAGGCAGGAAAGGCAATGGCAAAGGGGGGGGGCTCAAATTCCAGGAAGGAAAGACGACACAGTGACAGGGATCTCGGCAAAGCTCCCACAGGAAACGAGCCCCTCACTGTGCCTCGTGCGCTGGAGTGAATTCCTGCCGGAGCAAGCACCTCAGCGTCAAGAAAAAATATGGAAGTTTTAAAATTAAAACCTGCTAAATTGCCTATGACCTCAGACTACAGAAGCCCTTGGTAACTGTGACTCAAAAACCAGAGGCCATTAAAAAAAAAAAGACTGAGATGTCCAGCAATCATCAGGATGGAAGAATCTTTCACAAATTAAAAAAGACAAAATGGGGAAAATATAACTCACATTACAAATAAAAAGTTAATCTCCTCGATAAATGGCTCATAAAAACCAATAACAAAATGACCAAATATCTAATTAATTTTAAAATTTCACTAGGGAAATATTATAGTAAAAGAAATACAAATGACCCTTAAACATGAAAATACATTATAATGCATTTGGAAAAAAAAATTGTCCAGTACTTTCTTTTTAATCTTCAAAAAAATCCTACCGGGACCTCCCAGGTGGCCGAGGGGTTAGTCTTGGAGCTGTCACCACCGTAGCCCGAGTCCATCCCTAGCCAGGGAGCTGACCCACAGGGCACAGCAGACCTCTCCCGCCTCCCCACAGCCCCCACAGCAGTGGATTTCAGTGGCTCCACCTGCTCTGCGCCCCACTCTGTCTCTGGGGAGTCCTCTCACCCTGCACCTCTGGCCTAGACCTACTTCTATGCAAATAAATATATAAAAAATTAAAAATCCAACTAATTTGACAAAGGGCTGATGTCCAACATATATAAAGAGCTCACGCAACTCAACAAAAAGAAAACAACCCAGCCAGAAGTGGACAAAAGAGCTAAACAGACACTTCTCCAAAGAAGACATACAGCTGGCCAATACACACAAGATACACACTTGAAAAAACGCTCATCATCACTTATGATCAGGAAACGCAGGCCAACGGCGGCGTGACGCCAGCTCACAGCATGAGAACGAGAAAGGGACCAGAAACAACAAGCGTGGGCGAGGCTGCGCGAGAAGGGCAGTGTGGGTGGGGATGCAGGCGGGTCCAGGCCCAGCGGAGAACAGTGTGGGGCGTCTGAAAATACCGGCGTGGATCTGCCACAGGACCAGCAACCCTCCTCTAGGCTCTGCCCCAAGGACACAAGAACCCGGTTCCACGGGACACTGGCCGCCCGTGCTCGCTGAGGTGCCTGCCGCCTACAGCAGCCAAGCTGTGAACACAGCCTGAGGGCCAGGAGAGGGTGGGTGAGAAGACTGGCGAGACAGACACACGCAGACACGCACACGCAGAGGCCTCTGCTCGGCTGCGCTACAGATGAACACCTGCCGTTTGTGGCGACGTGGATGGAGCTGGAGGGGACGCTGGCGACGGGAGTCAGGCGGAGGACACGGCTGGACGGGCCCTGCATGTGGATGCAGAGATGTGACTAAGGGGCCGTCCAAACCACGCCAAGAAGAACCCCATGTCTGACTGCAGCCCCCAAGCCGCGGGAGGGGGTGGGGAAGGGCCCCCGGGGCGGTACTGGAATAATAAACCAAAGGTTTCCTTTAATCAGACATTGTAAAAGTACTTCTGTTCAATCTTTGATCAAAGCCAACAGAATCTGTACTTGTCCCCAAATTCTCTCACTTAAAATCTAGGTCATCGACTAAGTACTTTAGTTTGTTGTTAAAAAACTTTTTCACAGATGTGTCCTCAATGTCCAGATGAAACATCTTGATGTCGACAGTCAGATTTTACGTAACCAAAATTGATAACAGTTTTGAACGGGTGTCCTGGCGGCCAGTCTCCCCTAACGAACCCCTCCTCCCACAGCCAGTCCATTGTCTAAATGTGGACCAAGTGAAGTCATCCGCTGGCTGAAACGAGGGAGCCTCACACCGCCCCACCATTGTTCCCGGCCCGTAAACAGGAAGCAGGTCTCCAGCGGGAGTCCGAATGGGGACCTCTGCCTCTGCCCCGGGCCGCAGGAGTCTGGGCCCCCACAGAAGGCCCCACCCCGCCTAGTGACCCCGCCTAGTGACCCCGCCTAGTGACCCCGACTAGTGACAGTGAAGGCAGCCCCCCAGCCTCCAGGCACCCCTGAACCTCGAGCCTGGCCCCTTCCACCCCCCCGGCCCCCTGCCGGGCCTTGTTAGCAGTAAGGTAACCGTCCACGCTATGCTCGAGGCACCTTCCCTGCCTCCTCCTGCTGGCCCCAAGGCCCTCCGCGGCTTTGTCACATCACAGAGGCCTCCCCGGGCCTCTCCCCGCCAGATGGAGGGAAGCCGCAGGCCGAGGCGGGAAACCACAGGTGGCAAGGAGGGCCCGCTGCCGCCTGGGGTGTGAGGCGCGTTCTTACTGACAAGAACTTAAACAGCCATTTCTGCTCATTAATCTGTAAGAGGTTTTTAGATATTGAAATTAATGGCCCAGAATCTACAGAATCTGGAAGAAAAGCGGCTCCAGGGCGAACAAGCCCAGAGGGAAGGGCCTCGGGGGTCGGCCGTCCTGCACACGCTGACCTCTGTTCTGAGGCAGCACCCCCACGACCTCACAGCCCTAAGGTGTCTTCCCACGTCAAGCTTCGTGTGTCTAAACCTCAAATTCGTCGAACTGTCTCTCTTTCCCACGTGGCCTTTCCCGAAGCCTCTCTGGTTCTGCCAGCGCCCACCCCACAGGCCTCACCCGCCCCGCGCCTCCGCAGCTGCCCGCAGCCTGTCCACCCACCAGTTGGAGTCTCCCTCACGGGTGCTGCGGGCCGGGCCTGGCACGCCGGGCACAGAGCCCCAGGGACCTGCTGAGGCACCGTGGCGCACTGAGGCCGCTCGGCTGTACATGCGTCCAATGGGGCCAGGCCGCGGACCTTCGCCTCTGGACGTTTCATTCGAAAAGCTAATCGCTGCCAGATAACTCACCCGAAGTCTGAGCACTACTTCAGTTTTATTTTATTTTTTTTAAAAAGATTTATTTATTTATTTATACAAGCACTGGGTACGGTCAGAAGCGTTGGAGGGTGAGAGAATTCACCAGAGCCAGAGCGGGGAGCAGAACAGGCAGAAGGACCGAAGCACACTGCTGAGGGGAGCAGCGGGTGGCGGGAGAGGTCTGCGCGCCATGTGGGACCCTCCTCCGGTGGCCGGGGAGCAGCCGGGGATCGAACCGGCGCTGCAGAGGCCGCGGGCAGCTTCACAACCCAGCGCTCAACCGCTGCGCCACCGGGGAGGCCCACTTTATCAATCTTAAACTCCACCTGGCAGTCTTTAGCAAATGTCGCCTTCCTAACCGCGGCAGGATCTGTTTCCAGATGGAAAGCCGCCACGCCGGGTAAGCTGGTGTAGGCCACTCAGACACGCAGGACACGCAGGGCCCGTGGCCGCGGAGGCTCCAGGGAGGACATCCCCCGTGTGCACCCCCCGCCCCGACACCGGAGCACCTTTGCTTTCATTAAATTTTGGCATCTCTGAAAGCGCAGTGGCCTTGCCATGCCCAGCACGTCCTGGCCCGCGGGCGCGGGGTCGCCCTGAGAGCAGGTCGGGCCAGGGAGGGGAGGGGTGCAGGCGCTCCGGGCGTGGGAATGAAGAAGCTGTCACCGCAGCCAGAACAGCTGCAGAGCCCGGCCTGCGCGCAGACGCCAGCAGCAGGTGGCGACCGAAGCCTGGTCACACCTCCCCTAGACTGTCCCCTCCGCCCAGCCGCACTGCAGGGCAGCCCCTGCCGCACCGCTCCTCCTTCACACCCGCGGCTTCACGAGATGGCCCTGCTCGCGTGGCGCACGCCACACTCCTCCACGGCACCGTCCCCCGGCGGGGCCCCTCTCGGAGCAGTGGGGCTCACCAGAGCAAGTGGGGTCCCCCAGACTCTTGGCCACCGGCTGTGTCTTAAGCTGCACAGCCTTTATTTCTACAAAGGCCTGACGACCCCTTGACCAGCACGCCAAGGGGCAGGTCTTGTGACCTGGAAGGGAGGCTGCCAGGCCCCAACCTTACTGTCAAGAAGGCGTGCTCTGAGCTCGCGGGTACCTGAGCTAAGCGCACATGAACAACCGGAATCAAATAATCATGACACACGCACTATGCACCCCACTCCGTCCTCCTCCCACTGTCCTCCTCCCAGGGTCCCCCTCTCACTGGCCCCTCCCACTCCATCCTTCTCCCGCTGGCCTCCCTTCCGCTGTCCTCTTGCTGGGATTTTCCTCCTCGCACCCGCCCCGTGGTCCATGCCATGTGCTCATTTCCCTGGGTCTCCCCCACACCCAAGCTCGGCCAGAGCAGAGGGCAGCCCTGGCCCCGCCTCGGCAGACAGGGCCCAGCTTTACCCCTCAGTGATGGAGGCAGCCGCCCCAGAGAGAGGGGCGCATGGCCTTGCGGGCGCCCCTTCCGCATGCGCACTCCGGGGGCACCGCTCCTGCATGTTTTTGGGCAAGAAGAGTGGTCTCCAACATGAATGGTCTGAGATGATAATGCTAAACTTCCAGCCCTGGGCTGGGCATTAT